CCTACTACTTTTCCATTTTTAATGTTTTTTATTTACTTGTCTATGACTCGACTCATGACATTTGCCCCTCCCTTTTTAAATGGCTGTGAGGTCAGTTTCTGGTGATCGAGCCTACCTAGGTTAATATTCTTTGTACTATGCATGCGTGCTTTACTAATTGCTTTTAAACAGATACCAAGGACTTACAGAAAGTATTGACTGAGCTACAACAATTTTCAAAGCCCAACTGGCGCAAATTTGGATTGGAAGCTGGCCTCTACAAGGAAAGTCTCGATATAATAGAAGCTAACTACAAGAGAAATGTCGAGGATTGTTTTATCGAGTGTTTGTCTTGCTGGCTGAAAAGACAGGATAATGTTGATAATGAAGGAAAGCCAGCATGGTGCAGATTAGCTGAGATATTAGAGAAAATTGAAGAAAAAAACTTAGCTGACAAAATTAGAGGTAGAGAAAGGACTAAATGTAGTATTGTAAACTTAGTTTTTAAGATATGTCTAGTGGTATTCATAAAGAGCAGCAAGTTTGCACTGTTACTACTCCTGGTCACAGCATTTTTCGTAAGTATTATAGGTAATACAGATTTTTATGCTCATTATTATTTTGTCCAGTTCCTGAATTTTTAGAGGAGCAATATCTTCAAATGGCCACTGAATTTTCAAGTATACTATCACGTTTTGTTAGTCGGGTTTGCAAAAAAAGGAAAACACTAAATGCTGTCAAAATTTGCTTGGTTGGCATTGTACCATTAGATAAGAGAGAAATCAGTAAAGTAGATAGTGAAATTGAATTGATGTGTGTCCTTAGAAATTACTGCTCTTTGATAAAATATCCAATACTAACTATTTTAACGAGGGACATGAACATGCTTGATATTAAAAAGGAACTTGATGAATTTGAAAAGAAAATGAAGAAGTCATACAAAAGTATTTTAGCAAAGGACTTTGCAAAAAGTGCTATTGAATATTGTGGTACATTGCATAGTAGAGAGGTTAGATTTATATTTGTTATAATTATTTTATTGTATTTTATAATTTGTAGGTGACATTTGAAGTGACATGGCCCATTGCTAAAACAACACTTAATGAATTTGAGCAGTTTCTAGCTGCTGCCTTTCGTAGTCAAGACATTTATATGCTCATTCACTTGAAGGCTGTGCATAGTAGTCTATTGACATTTGTTTGTATCATTCCATATTGGCTAGTAGAAGAGATGAAAGATTGCATTCTTAAGAATAAAGACCTTATTATGTCTAAGGAAGTAGTTAGAATTACTGTTGATGGCACTACTGTATTTAGTGTGGTAAGTATATTATTCTATTTTGATACATTAAGTTTTGAGTAGAAAAGTTCACTAGAGCCTTATCAGTTGACATTAGGTAAGTGTTGATGGTTGTATACACATGTAAAAAACTAAAATTGCAGAAAATGTGGAAAAAGAGTCATTTCAGAGTGACGGCGAAGCTGAAGAAGTATTATGTTATTTTTATATGATACTACAAGTTGCTTAATTATAGGAATACTGTGAGCCTCTGGACCATAATGTACAAGAAGATAGAAAATCTGGTGAAGTTTATGCTTGCCTGATGTTTTGTGAGAAGGAATCAATTGTATCCTTTACTGCTGTACGAATTAAAAGGTTAACTGACCTTCTTGAGGTAATGATTGTAATTTAATAATTTAATGTACCACTAAATAGTATATCAAAGATCATCATCAGTTTGCTGAAATTGGCCCAATTCATTATGTTCATTTCAAATTGCCTAATAGTTTTATTGAATTGAATTTTACTGAGAAGCCACCAGCTGGTTGGACTATTGTTCCTTTAATTAAACCTTGCAGAGTAATGTACAATCATTTTAATTTATAGATTTATAGAGTTTTTGTAGTTGTATCAAGCAGATATTGACATATTTGATGGCACAGAGGAATCTGTTCCTCCATCTTGTTTGATATCCTTTTATAGATCACCTGATGCCGTGCCATTATTGCACTACTCAGTACCATTAATTGGTGTGGCTGATCCTGTTAAATTTTATATTCATAATAGAGCAATGAAAACTATAGTTTCACCTGGTAAATGACAACAATATTATACAGTTCAGTTTAGTGGTTTTATTTTTAGCACCTTATACTGGACTGGTATATCATGAAAAGAAGGAAGATACACATTTTATATTTTTTACTGCAGCAAGACTTCAGGACATATGTAGTATTGTAAATGTAAGTATATTTATTGTAGGAATTAATGTATACAGTTTGTATCACTATGCAGTATGTAGAAGATCAATATCCATTAGCTAAAATCAGTTGTCTGATTAGTTTTGACTTTGATTCAAATCATGATCATATTGAAGTAATTTTTAATGCTAGTCAAATCAAACCTCACTCTTATAAAGTATGTTAATCTTAGTAAAATTGATGTTATTGTTGTTTATAGTTACACAAGGATCAAATTGACAAATTTAGTGTTGTCAAAACTCTTCCCCCATCTTTTCAGATATCAATTTATGAATCACGTGATGCTTTTTCAACAATATCTTGCTCCATATCATTGGATGGTGTGGTTGATCCTGTTAAAATAGATTTAATGTTAAAGTCTCCTATGAAAATGACAGCATCACAAAGTATAATTGTTATTTATGCAACTTTTGGTATGCATTATTTACAGATAATGTAACATTATCATATTTTGGATTATTATATTATGAATGGAAAGGGAAGGAATATTTAATGACATTCACTGCTTCCAAGAAGTTAAATCACTTACTTGAAGTAAGGCAGTTAGTTAAAGACTTTATATTATTTTATATTAGTATGTTGAAGAATATCATCCACTAGCAAAAATCAGTCAAGTTTGTGATTTTTGTTTCAGTTCCTCTAGTAATTTTATTGAACTATATGTAATATGCGAAGATTTTTGTGGATGGACTGTTCAACCATTGGTGAAACCATGCCGAGTAAGTACTGTATGTATATATACACTGAAATTTAGGTTTTTATGGAGTTTATTAACCAAACAATGTTATCATGAGGTTAATAAATGCCATAAAAATCATGATCAAGTCCAAGTTGTATGTGTAAGTTACACACCAATTTGGAGCCTACAGCTATTTTTAATCTGTGGGCATGCAAAGCCTTAGTAGTTCTAATGTATTTAATTGATTATATAAAGAGCCTTGTTAACTGCATATTGGTCATCACAACCACCAAGGGTGGCATATTTTGACAGCAATCTTATATAGTTATATCAAGATGATATTGACAGATATGATGAAGCTAGTTATCTACTTCCTCCAACTTGTCTGTTATCAGTTTATGGATCTGTCAATGCTGTTCATACACTACACTATGTTATATCACTGAAAGGTGTTGCTGACCCTGTGAGATTATGTATTGATATGAAACTTCAGTTAGAAAGTATAATGTAACTGAAATCATTACCATTACTTTTAGCTGTATATATTTATATAGAAGATGTACTAAAGCTTATTGATGACTTGCATAGTTCTAAAAAAGGTATATACAATTATGTGAAATTGTAATAACTTTATAGTAATGATAGAGATACAGAAAAAAGATACAGAGATTGCTGCAGCCAAAAAAGATTTATGCAATGTACTTGAGAAACTTAAAGGTAGTAACTATGCAGAGGTTCTGATTGTATTTTACATTAGAAATACATGAAAAAGATGTAGAAGTTGCTGCAGCAAAAAAAGAAACATCAATGAAGACTAAAGGTAACTATTGCACTGGCTTTATTTGTATCTAATTCATTCTTATGATTAAAAGAATGTATAAAGTGAAGAAATATTCTATTTACTACTCGCATACAATACAAATTGTTAAGGGCTATATATTTCATAGAGTTGCCTATTAAACTGTAGTTTGTGAATTTAATTTTTGCAAATTTACACTCTCTGTCATCTTATAAGTACGCAAAATCTGCGAAGTGTACAGCCCTTGAAAATTTCATATTGTACACTACAGTGATTAGAGAAATTTATGACTTGTCATAATGTTTTGATTCCTCCATCTATTGATCACTGTATAATAGTCAGAGTAAAATTGACATAAGAAGTAAAAACAAGATCATAATATGTGTTGAAAATGACCAAAGCTAACAATGCTTTACATTGCACAATTGCCTTGTAGCATTGATGCAGTATGTTTGTTTATGGGTATATACATGTGTATATATAGAGCTATGTTATTTATATAACCACACAAGTCGTATACCAGTAGTCTTTATCAGTTTGGTAAGGATTTTATTTTGCCACTAAAATAATACAGGGTGCAATTAGTAGAGGCAGAGCCATTTTCAACAAATTTCAATCATATAGAGACATTAATGCATCACTAATATGACTATTTTTTACATTTACACAGAGCCACCAGGAGAGTCAGTACACTACCTGTTACTGTCTGGATTACCAGATGGTATCACAGCTGATGCTGTGGAAGGATACTTGTCTAATTTGTTTGATGAAGTCAATGATGTGGTATTACTTGGGAATGGAAGTGCTCATGCTGAAGTTGTTGATGATAATGAATTAAGTAATTAACTTCAGAAGCTAGTTAATTTAAAATAATTTACTTGTCCCAAACCAGGGAAGAAATAATAATAATAAGGCCACTTAAACTTTTTCTGTTTTCTGCCTGCATGACGCCACATTTATTGTGATTATACATGCAATTTATCAATTACATTGTCATGGTACTACAAAATCACAGTAATATTATTTCATTTACCCAGATTAAAATTACAATTATTCATGGGCCTCAGCCCTTAAATAATTTTCATTTTGAATGGCCACAACTAGTTTATGTATAAACATCCCATATTTTAGCACATAACCATTTGCTTACTCATTTTGTCATATTTTAATGCACTATAAACTACTTCCCAAATTCCCATAAATTTAAATTGCATCACACTTTGTAATATTTACAGGTATTAAAGAGTTTATAAATAAGTCGCACAAAATTAAGAAGCAACAGATTGAAATCAAGCTTACAGATCCACCTGATCCAGCCAGTGTTCCTACCAGCACTGCAACTCCTGATGCCTTGGGATTAGATTATTATCCTGATTTGATTGAAGTCACTTTTGATGGTGTTATTGATACTGATATTATTCAGATTTACTTTGAAAGCAAACACTCAGGAGGGAAGAGGGAAAAAGTAGTTGAATCTATTACGACATTTGAAGAGGGCATTATTCATGTTAAGTTTGAATCACCAGATGGTAAGACAATATTATTACTTGTATATAATTCGTTATTACTATGTATGTCAATAATTTAGATGCACTAGCTGTTATTGCACAAGAGGAACATTCAGTCAAAATTAAAAAGCAGCCTCGTAAACTTGAGGTTCGCTATGTCCCTCTTCCACCAGTGAAGGAATATGATATGAGCAAATTAATAATCAAAGATATACCAGAAGGAATGGAAGAAGGTTATTTAACCATGTTTATTGAGAATTGTCTTGGATTAGATGAAGATGATTTCACAATTAATTTAAAACCAGGTGTTGCTATGCTACTCCTAGAATCTTCTTATACTGATGAAGGTATTGTGTCATATAATGATTTTATTTCACCCACTTGTACATATATAATAGAGCTAAATAAAATGATGGAGAAATTAGGAGCAAAAAAGTTGCCACAGAAAAAGGAGCAGTTGACTGTTGAAAGATGTGAAGTTAATTACAGTATTTATGTTGCTGGCATCACTAACAAAATTTTAGCTTCAGAAGATGGTTTAGAACTTTATTTTGAAAGTTCCATAAGTGGAGGAGGAGACGGTGTAGTTGAGAAAATTGAGATGCTAGCAAAAGACAAAGCAAAAGTGACTTTTAATGATCATTCAGGTATTCAATATATTATGTTAAGATATAACTTGTACTCACATATAGTTATTCAGAGAGTTTTAAAGAAGAAACACCCTAAACTGGGTCCTAGTGTCAGTATTACTGAATGTTCAGTCTTGGACTCTTTAGACAAAAGTACAATTGAAGAAGAGGAGGAGGAGGAGGAGGAGCCTGTTAAAAAGAAATCAAGTCACAAAAGAGACAATAAGACAGGAGAAAACCCAGTAAAACGACTTGATAAGAAGAATAAGCAAAAAAAGTCTAAGAAACATAGCAAAACATGTAGTAGCAGTGACGATGATGAAACAGATGCTTCTTCACCCCCTCCTCTTGTCAAAGATAATCCTTCTCAAGTTCCACTCAATCCTGTACACCATCCATTGGATCCTCTTCTTGCTAAGTATGTTCGTTTAAAGCCTGACATTACCAAGGGTATTGAAATGGAGTTTCAAGTTAAGATTACTGCAGCTGATGCTGGTATTATTACAATATCACCTTTACCTTCCTCTCCTCCTGACTGGCCTGAAAAAACTGTAGATATGATGCAAGAGTTTATTTCTAGCTCTCTCACTAAAGTCGATTTACCTGTTCCTCCAGAAGTTGGTAGCTCAGTTTATCCGATGATAATAAAAGAATGCAATGATGAAGGTTTACAATATGCTTTTGGTCAAGGTAACAATAAAGTTACAATAGCTGGTCATATTGATGCTGTAACAAAGCTACAGCGCAATGTTGCTGAACTATGTGGTAGAATGATACGATGTGTAGATGAGGTTGAGCTTTCAAAGGAAGACTTTATGTACTTCAAAGGTTGGGCTTTATCTCGAGTTCAGCAGCAGCACAAAGCAGTAAAGCTGCAATGTCATGATGATCGTTTGTCATTATCCATTGATGGTTCTATGAAAGATGTGGATGAGGTTAAGTCTAAGTTATCACAGCATTTGGTTCATAGTAAAGTTCCTGTTAACCTCCAACCAGAAGCATTGAAGTTTATACATGATGACCAACCAGGAAGACAAAAGCTTAATACCATGCTCAAAGGTCACCCTGAGGTCATTCCTTATTTTTCTCATAGCGCAAATAATCAGCTCTTCTTCCTTTTACTCTGCTCAAATAGCCATATTGATAAAGCTGAGCATGTAGTAACAACTATTCAGCAAGAAATAGTAGTCCAGTCTATTGATTTGCCACAGTCATTTTTAAGACAAATATCCGATTCAAATTTTGTGTCATTTCAAACTAACCTTGCCAAAAAATATTCCTTTTCTGCCACTGTACATCAGAGCAAACTTACATTAGTCAGTACTCGTAGCAGTATAGCAGACGTTAATAGAGAATTTCATACTTTTGTTACTGAAGCTTGCTCTGTCACTGATGTAATTAATTTTAAAAGAGGAGTTTGGCGTCTGTTGCATTCAACATCAATGGAGAAGAACTGGACTGATCTTTTGGAAAATATGAAAAAGAGAGGCATCATGATTGTTTTCTCTTCGAAACCAACAGCCCAAAAACCATACATTAAAATTAAAGGAGAAGTGCATAATTTGGAGTTTGCAAAAGAAGAAATTATGGAGTTCCAAGCTGCTGTGAAAGAGCGACAGGTAACAATCTCTCGTCCAGGAATGGGTAAATATTTCTTGAGTAATCCTCAAGGTCAAATGATGCTGAAAGGTATAGAGTACGAAGCTAATGTTTGTATTGAAGTTGAAGTTAGTAAAGAAAATTTTGAACATGATGAGCCTTCCATGACAGCTAGTCGAAGTTTCAAAAATATTGGTTTTGGAACTACTCCTGAGATGAAGAGAGTGAATGTGATAGTTGGTGATATCACAGAGTTTGATAGAGCTGATGTTATTGTTAATGCTGCTAATGGCCAGCTAGTTCATGATGCTGGCATAGCTGCTTCTATTGTAAAAAGAGGTGGTCCGGCAATCCAAGAAGATTCAACAAGGTATATTGATAAGAATGGATATCTTTTTGATGGAGAAGCTGTTCTCTTTCCAAGAGCTGGTAATCTACCTTATAAGGCAATAGTTCATGCAGTTAGTCCACAATGGAATAGATTTGGGGATAACTCCAGAGAGATAGCATTGTTAAAGAAGGCCATTCATCAAAGTCTAGAGAAATCAAAGGGTTTTACCTCAATAGCTATCCCAGCAATAAGCAGTGGTGTGTTTGGTTTCCCAGCTGATGTGTGTGCTGATAGTATTCTAAAAGCTATTGCTGAGTTTAGTCGTGTTGACCATGGCTCACAACTTAATGAGATCAATATAGTTATTTTTGAAGATAAAATCAATGAGTTTTTAAAGGCAGCTAAAAGACAATTAAAAAGTTTTCAGTTTTATAATTCCACTCAAAGTTTATTACCTCTCTCAGTAGCAGTTCCTTCAAGTCAAACAGCATATTCTTTTTCTCTTCCTCGTGGTCATAGTCCAGATCTTCCAACAATAATGCTTCCTCTGGATTCAGAAGTTATAGTTCACATTTACAGTGAGACAGAGTCAATGGTTGAAAGAGCCGAAAAAAAATTACAGTCCACAATTGCTACATTTTATTACGAGGAAATTGCTGATCCTAGTATCTCTGCTTTCTCTGATGAAACTGTACATGAACTTATATCATTTGCAAGTGATCACAATGTTGATATTGAAATTGATCGAGATCCTAGCCTTCATTTGGTTAACCTTCAGGGATTTTTTCAAGATGTTATGCTTGTCAAAGATAAAATTTGTGATGCAATGTCTTTTATAACTCAAGAGCAATCAAAGAAATCTGCTGCTGCCTTAGTTTCTAAAACTGTACGCTGGACAAGGATTAATCCAGATAATGAAGAAGAAGAGGAGTATGGTGAATTTCTAAATTATGAAATTGAGCAAGCATTTCAAAACGAGAAGGAAATTTATGATGCTGCAGATGATAGCTTCTTTATAAACTTTGAGAAAATGAAGGAAAGGGATAAAATAACTAATAAAACTGCTATTGTTAAACGTTTGAATCTCATAAAAGTACAAGGTATGCAATATTTTATTATGTTTATAATATTAGTTAATTATGTACATTTACAGAACAACCTGATAACTGGGATCCAATACCTCTTGACTCTCAAAAAAAAGAAAAACAATTTCATCTTGTTACACTGCCAGCTACTAGTCCTGAATACAAAACTGCTGAGACAGCTTTCAATAAGACAATGACTGGAAAATATGCTAAGATTCTTAGCATTCAAAGGCTACAGAACCCAGCCTTATACAAGCAGTATGCAATTAGAAAGAAAGAAATGGAAATACACAATCCTAAGGGCCATCAAAATGAACGACTGCTCTGGCATGGTACCAGTCCTGATACACTGGATAAGATTAACACACGTGGTTTTGATCGTAACTTTGCAGGAAAACACGGTAAAGTAAATGACATACTTTTGTATTATATTATTATATCATTATAGCTACTGTGTATGGTAAAGGAGTATATTTTGCTCGTGATGCATCATACTCTCACAGATACACATCACCTGATGCTAATGGTGTTCGTCACATGTACTATACTCTTGTTCTTACTGGGGAATTCACTGTTGGTGATAATTTAATGATATGTCCTCCTCTTAAAAATCCTCAAGTTGATCTTATTGTTACTTTTGATGCTACTGTTGATAATGTTGCTAATCCAGCCATTTTTGTAGTCTACCGAGATACTCAACATTATCCAGCATATCTGATAAACTATAAATGAATTCATTATAACTTAAACTGTGTATCAGTAATGTAGTTTAGGCCTATAGCTTTATTTTTACTACATTTTTTAGTATTATAGTAATACAAACTTTACTTTTCTATTATGATTTATGAATTTGTATTTTATTTTAACTTAATAATTTTCTTAATTTTTTTTTCCTATACGTCTTCTCAAATTTTTGATGGTCAAACTTTGATCTAAAATATTTCAAACTGTAAGTGACCAAGAAAAGAAACCATTGTACTATTCCTTTTTTAATACTAAGTAAAGAATAGGCTCAATATGTTTTATAGCTGCTGTCCAACTCTTGATTCACACAGTGTGTGTTTTTGCTAGTACAACATGTATTTAAACCCCAATTCAGGGTTTCCCATAGGATTTTAGCATACTGTTCACATGGCTTTTCATCAGTGGTTTGTCACATTGAAAAACTGAGCCAATGACTGTATAGTGGTATATGGTTTTTGGCCAAATTTTATCAGACAGAAATTACTAGGCATGCATGTATATGTACTTTTATTTTGTGTTGAAAGTTTGAGCAGATTCTGGTGAAAATTATTTTTTGACAGATTTTACTAACAAAAGTAGGAAATGAAAATCCTACTCTCGTGACACAAATTCTACTCCTCTATATTGCAAGGTGATCAGTAATTTTTTACATAATAACATTGAAAATTCAATGTAGAGTAGAATTTGTGTCACGAGAATAGGATTTTCATTTTGTATTTTTTTGGTATGGATAGTCAGTCATTCTTATAAATCCTAATTGTCCTTTTTTATGTACTTTTGTACACCATCCTTAATTGACCAAATTTGCCAAAAATGATTAGGAGAAAATTTTTCATTTTTATAATTTTTCACATGTTGTATATCAAGTGTGAGCTGATTCCAGCCAAAATTTGGATTTTTATTAACTTTTAACATTATTCAAAAATCAGGCCAAAGTCCCTGTACTATAGCACATAGTAAGTTATTGTTTGTCCCCTTTGTCTGAATTGCATGTACCTTATAGTGTGATTCATGCATTATTATGCGTAGTTCCCAGTGTTCTCCTAGTTTAGGATCAAAACGTCTCATATTTATAACATTAAAACCTATCAACATTTTTAAAAAGTTTATTTACATTGACAAACATTATTTACCCTAACCTACATCCTCTGTGTATGTGTGTGTGTGTAATGTGCTGAGAGACACTGCTCATTGGATTGTTATTGTATTCTTATTGAGTTGAATTGATCATGTAAGGTGTGTCCACTCATGGCATCACAATTAAGGTTGAGCCTACAGCTATCATGCTCAAAAATTTTTCTTTTGGAAATTTTCAATATTTTCCTCCGTTATTCTAGGCTAAATGTACATCTATCCCACAGCATGGCAGCTCATTAATAATGTTTATTGCTTAACACGCATTGGTGGTGGGATAGGTCGTAGGTGGGAGTATTTTTTTTACCAGTAACTTAATATTTGCCTGTGATGAGTGAATTGAATTATCATTTCATTTCATTAGTGTGTATGTATATAATTTTGATGGTGTACCTTCTATTATGTCACATGCAACTCATGGATGTTTGAGTGGGTGAGTATTTATAAACATTTAATTAGTATGCATACACATACTACCTATTTTGAAGTTCAATGGGATAACTTGATACTGCATTACAATCCTTTTTTGATTGTTAAACCATCCATTGATAGCCTTTTCCACATTCTATTGTAACCTTCAGTTCAGGTAAGACTTATATCACTACACATAACATTTGTTTACTATGCATGCAGTCCAGGACTTAGTAATGTTTACACTCTCTTCTTGTACAAGTGATTCTTGCTCATATATGGTTACAGAGGCTAGTGTTGCATGATGCTATGCTGTGCTGTATACTTGACAAGTACTTAGTCAAGTATACATGACTGTATAGTTGTCAAAATCTACTGATACTTGACAGAAACAAGACTAGCATAGTGATATTGAATATGGTGATATGTATAAATTTTTTAGGCATAGCTTTCATCATGTAATTTTAACATAGTATTTCAATAATTTTCAACACATTTATTTTGCATGCAGTACCAGTACTATGATAAAGTACATTAGTCATTATGCCTTTGAAGTTTATTCATATTTGCTTGTTTCAGTGACGTAAGTACAAATGCAAGTAAAATTTACAATTTTCATGGGATGCTATTATAGAGTATTGTGAGTTAAATGCACAATAGTAAAACAGGAAACATAATTATTTCTGATTTTTATCACAAAAATTTTTTATGCACATGAATACCGTAACATATTTATTTATACAAAAAGAAAAATTAAGATTCTTGCCAGTGGCCACGTGGGACCTTCAGTAATGAGCAAAGTGAAGAAGAAAGCAGGGATTCATCAATCTCTTACACAGCAGATCTTGGGAAGAGATGCTCCTAAAGCTACGACACGTAATAAAGCAAAGAAATCCGAAAAACGAGAGCAGAATGAGGAAGTGGTGGGGGAGAGAATGAGTGTCAAAATTCTAAAAGAAGCACGACTACAGCAAGAAGAGTTGGAAGAGGAATATGGGATCGGTGTACCCTCTATTAAACAAAAGAGTACAACTGATAGAACTACAACAATGGATTCCAGTGATGAAGAGCAAGATGAAGATGAACTAGTGTTTGATGAGTGTGACATTAAAGTTGACGAAGAGGATGAGAAAGCAATGAGACGTTTTATGAGGTTAGAAGATGCTCAGCAACAAAAGACCCTCGCCGATTTGATCATGGAGAAGATACGAGACAAGGAAACTGAAATATCAACTAGATATTCCGATCATGCGTCTACCATAGTAACCTCTCAATTTGACGAGAGAGTCGTTCAAGTTTATAAATCAGTTGCGCTGATCCTGTCTAAGTACAGAGCTGGGAAGCTACCAAAAGCGTTCAAGGTTATACCATCACTGACTAACTGGGAGGAAATACTTTATCTCACAGAGCCGGATAAGTGGTCAGCTGCCTCCATGCTTCAAGCAACTAGAATCTTCTCATCTAATTTAAGTGCCGTCAAAGCTCAACGCTTCTACAACTTAGTACTCCTTCCTCGTATTCGTGACGATATCACTGAATATAAAAGGCTCAACTTTCATCTCTACATGGCACTGAAGAAAGCTTTATTCAAACCTGCTGCTTTCTTTAAGGGGATCCTCATACCAATCTGTCAGTCGGGTACTTGCACTCTTCGCGAGGCTCTCATAATTAGTAGCGTGATAGCTAAAATAAGTATCCCGTTATTACATTCTTGTGCTGCGTTACTAAAGATTGCCGAGATGGAGTATTCTGGTGCTAATAGTATATTCATTCGTACACTATTGGATAAGAAGTATGCCCTGCCCTACAGGGTCATTGATGCTGTGGTTTTCCATTTTTTGCGCTTCAGGCAAGACCCTCGAGACATGCCTGTTTTGTGGCACCAGAGTTTACTGACTTTCGTTCAAAGATATAAAGAAGATATATCCTTTGAGCAGAAGGAGGCTTTGCTGGAGTTGTTGCGGCTTAAGCCTCATATTGAGATTACTGGAGAAGTCAGGAGAGAGATTGTTCACTCAAAATGTCGTGATGTGGGATCTTTGTACAATGACATTTGCAAGAAACAAATGGTTGTAGAATAAAATCATTTTTTAATTAGTGAAGCCATATTGTTATTGATTTATTATTTTTTGTTAAGTCAGCTGAGCTCATGTGCTCTGGGGAATTCCCTCTTCTGAGGTGGCAATATAATAGTCTCTCGAACGGCGTTCAAGGATCAGTCACAACAGAGAGAGGAGGAAAAGCAAAGTGTGTAACAAAACAGAAAGAGTATTATTAGTTGGATTGGCATGGGTAAGGAGTATATAATGGATCTTCCTCGGGTTTATGTTTTGTGTATTGTAGACGATTCTAGTAATAACCAAGCCCAGAGTGGAGACCAAACGAGTAGGGATACTATCATGACTTTGAGAGGGATCAGTCTCTGTGTACCTGGTGTCTCCTACGACGTTAAAAGCACTGCTGCTTTCGCTAAGAATTTCCAGGAGACACAGCATCAACGTAAAGGAAGTGTAAGACGCTCTCGGGACCAGCAACCAGCCATTTGTAGCCCTCAGGCAGAGAGTACACTGCCATCCTGCCCACCAGATGAAGCTAGTCTTTCATTCTTATCAGTGATGGAGGAAACTAGACGGAACCATCCCAGATTACACATTCGTATACTACAGAATGCTGTGAATACATTGCTAGAGGCATATCCAGGGGTCTTGTTTGCACTTGATCACAGTAAAAGTAAGACTATGACAAGCACCGATAAAAATCATCTTTTGACTCTTCCTTTTCTTACACAGTTAGTCGTAATGGATATAATGTAATTCCACCTCTGGAGCCATTATTCTTTGACGACCCAGTTTACATAGTGAGATATATAATTTCCTCAATTATCATACTTCTTTATTATTATATTCTCAGGCCGTTATCAAAAGAAGCAATATTCAGTTCATTCTGATGTCCATTGAACAGATACTTCCAATGCTTGAGGTACATTACTGTGAATGTAATAGGAACACATGTTCATTTGTTCTCCATATTACAGTGTTCACAATATGTGAAGCAAAGTTTCGAAGAGATATGTGAAAGGTGGTCAGAAGCCAAAGGAAAGGCACTCGATTACTATGGCATCCTCAAGGAACTTTCACTGACCTTTCAAAGCTTATAGGAAACCAAAAAGAACCACCATAGAATGAGTAAGCATGACTTTCATGACATAATACATTTTAATGATAATTGCTCTTTTATTATTATAGCATTGTAAATACATAGTGGCACCAGCCAGGCGTGTCGTGAGTGAATGACTGGAAAATTTGATACAATCATCTTGTAGTATACTGGTGCTACCGCTTTGCTTATTATAATAAGTAGAAAGACTCGAACACCGTGTGTTCATCTAGTGTCCAAGAAAACTGTTCTTGCAATACATGAACTAAAATTTATTATTTACATAATATGAATAATAATTTTTATTTTTGTTATTATTGTTATTATTTTGTCTGACGTTAAAGAAAACAATAAAACTATAGTTCCTATTAGTCTAGTACAGGATATTCATACTCAATATCTGTGTGGTCTATGACAATAGCTCAGTAGAAAGCCAACAATAGTAGCAATAATTCCTATGACATCATCTCCAGAGTCTGTAAATCTTGGTAACAGCCTATAACAATACATTGTATGTATTATCAATCATCAGAAGTACTACTATCATTATTGCTGTACCTCATTTAGCTCTGTATCGTCCTCCCATACACTATAAGTCAATGTGACACGCAAATGTCTTCTCCACAGCTTGTGTCTTGTTAATTTGATAGTTCCCTTTAGCCTCTGCCCTTCCTCTAACTGAAGAGGTGAATCAAGCAAGAGGAGGTCTTGTTTCCAGTGAGTAGGCCTAACAGAACAAGCAGTAGGAAGTGTCATGCATACACTAACTGGATGTGCTGGAACACTGCATGTACACACACGTGCTATGTAACAAACAACAGAATAAGAGCAAAACATAAATATTATAATGAAGTCCAGTGACATACTATTAACATTCCTATTATGGTAATAAGGCTTAAACCTGAACAAAACTAATACTAAATATCCCAACGCATTTACATATGTACCTACACTCAAACTGCAATTACTGCATTCTTCATACCTCAGTAATAGTATCAAATTACAAATGGCGTTATTAAAGATACGTGTACGTAAGAACTGGAAGTTGCACACTCATGGAGTACATGTAATGGTTGGAACAAACTCTATTGTTAATAATGAAAATGAATAAGCATAAGTAGTACATGTAATTGATTAACATACAAACATTATATGAAAAGAGCAACACGATCACATTAACTAATGTCAATAAACGTGAACACTGACTCGGTGGATGTGATTGTGAAATATTTCTTTGACTGTATATAACACAATAACAACTTAAAAACTAATTCTTAATGTGTGTCCTGACAGAATGGGTTTCAACCCCAATCAATTCAAACAATTGTTCTCCAAATCATTCAATTGCATTAGGCAATAATTATTCCCAAATGTCGCCTTAAGTATTATTAATTGTTATTTTATGGAGTGCAATGAATCGTAACAAAATAATAAGCTTACTTGCTTTGAGGTGAGGTAGAGAGAGTGACAGGAGTGTGAGGGTGGGGGAGGTGACTAAAATGAACCGTAAAATAGCTAGCGAAACCATGCAGCATCCCTTAGGAGAGATAGCATTATGATGAGTGATCTCAATACTTGTGGTCATCCTAACCTGATCTTTTAACAAGGAAATCATAGGCAGTTCTAATATCCTATTAAACAATAGGAATTATAGGATATTGCATTATCTATGATGATAGTGTAATGATGTGTTTTAGATTGATCACTGATAATGAAAATAGCTACTACATAAAAATAGGGATATAATACTTGTAGGTACTGAGCATAATTATCATTAAAAGGCAATAATGATTACCTCAAGTTGTGATACAGTAACAGTCTTCATGTTCAATTGGAGGATGGTAAAAGGTTCCGAAAGACATTCATCTGGCGAGAGGGTATGATTGTATATGGGTTTTCCTGTTAGCGTGTCAGCAGCCAATGATCTATAATGTCCATAGTAAACAGGATTACATTGCATCAGAAATGAACAATACATTGTATAAGTGGGTGTATTGGTAGGAAAATAATATCAATTTACTCGGGAATACACAAGTGTCCTAATTAGGTTTTAGCATCACACAAAGCCTAATAGACTAAACATAAACATACAGGTACATGGATACACACACACACAGTAGCACTGACAGATCAGCACAGAGTAATCATGAAGGGCACATGTACTGGCACACTCTTACAGCTATTTGCATAGACCTTGCAAACTGCACTGGCAGTTGTCAAGTAGGTGGGCTGTTTGTTTAATGTGACCACACAATACAAGACACACCTCAATTTTGACAGTCCCCTTTGAAGTTCATAGATTGGTTTATGAATTGGTTTGCAAGGTCTATGCAATTTGCTGTAACATGTAAGTTGATTTCAAAAAGATTGATTAGCTTAATGATTAAATTAAGCTGCTACTAATATCTACTGGGTGCTGGCACACTTTTAGCATGTGAGATGAATTTTCTAATTTAGCTGTTATTATAACTATTTGTAAAAAAAGTGAGAGAGACTGATAGGAGAGAGAGGAGGGAGGGAGAGGGAGAGGGAGAGGAGGAGGAGGAGGAGAGAGAGAGAGAGAGAGAGAGATGAGTAGCATAATCAGCACAGCACAGCACAAATACTAAGTGTGTCACACGATCTTATGACCATGTATAGGAAAAGTTTACCATAACAAGACGTGATGAGTACAACGCATAATAATGAAAAAATTGATAAGGATGCCGGCATGAAACTACAGGAATTACTCCAGCTTACAAATATGGGGAGAAGTCAAACCCGTACACATCCTTCCAAATACCCATTGAGCCATTATAGGCTGACAGGGCTGAGCAGGGAATTAGGAATAGTTCTGCCTCAGAAGGCCAGATCATACCATCCTATGACATTAAATAATAATAATAATAATAATAATAATAATAATAATAATAATAATAATAATAATAATAATAATAATAATAATGTTTTATGATTCATTTTACATATTTATTACTGGCTTTAAGAACTTGTCCCTAGCATTGATGACTGATTCGATCATAAACTCGAACTGTGAGAAGATAAAAAATGATTTAATCCAAAGTAATGTACATGTACATGAATGTAATAGATTTAATGCATGTAAACATCTTATGCAATATCTAGTCTGGCTGGTCCGGACCTTAGACCAGCCAGACTATGCAACATCTGCATGAGACTAAATCTATAAAAATAGTCATCTGTATGAGGTGTTGCAATGAATGTCTGATTTAGTTGGTTCATTAATCAAGCATTGATACTAATTCAATGAACTTTAATCTCATTGATTTTCTAATAATCATTATAAGGCATGAAGGAGTACATATTGTCTGTGTGTGGGGACCAGTGGGTATGCAGTCATTCAATGGAGGTGTGTATGGGGGAGTGTTAAATTACCAATAATAATGTCCCCATCCATTCTGATATGATCCAATCAACTTGATGATGAGGTAATGAAATATCATTAATGTTTCCTTGTATCACTTCAATGACATCTTCATAGCCATTCTTTGAGACAGTCTCTCTTGAATACACGGCAATATCACTGGCCTCCACAGCATAGACCTGGAGGAATGAGAAACAATGATAACAATGACACTAAATGAATGCTAACAACACATTATCAACATTACTATGTAAATAAAATGTAGTAGGAATGACCATACTTAAATTACACGAAAGACAACAACAACAATACTGTCAACACAGGTCACCATTGAGAGTAGAGTAACCTTACCTTTTTTGGTTTGCCGTATCGTGCGCAAAACAAACTAAGAATTCCAGTCCCACTACCAACATCCAGGACTACCTGATAATGGAACCGGTGTATAGGAAGGAGGATTGGCATGATTTATTATGATAATATTATCGTACCTTGTCCTGTAGCCATGGTAATGCAGACTGGATGGCTAAGGAGTATGTCGATGTGCGTGGGACATCAGTTAGCATTTCAGAGTGTAATTTCTATAGAGACAAAAGAATTTTAAGCACCTCATCACATAAGGTTAATCACTGTTCCAATTTATGTATAGATATCCTGATTTAAGGCTACCCTAATCTCAAAGGCTATTGCTCAATTTAAACTAGCATTGAACTGAAATAATAATAATGATTGCAAAGAAATTTTACTGAATTCACAGTAACAAAATGACTGCTAAATGCTAACAATAAAACTGCAATAATACATGTACATACATCCACATTGTAATTGGAAGGTATGAAGCAGTAAAGAATTACTGTATTCAGAAACAAATAACTGCTAAATGATAGAAATTCATAGGAATGCACCTAATCACGAAATCATAGAAGATGACACTGCTTATGCAAAAACTGTTTACATACTTAATGTAAATTTCCCACTTGTCATTTGATAAGACTAAAATAACTCTTAGGAACTGGCATTTCCAATACATTAAGTGACACAAATTTGTAAGAAACATAAGCTATTATTAATAATTTTGATGAGGTCACACTACGTAACTACATGTACACATTGTATTGTGTATAGCGATTCTAACGCTCTACTTCTTCATAATATCAATGCTCACCAGCTGTCCGTAGCTGCTAAAGTATTCGCTATTTTCCCATTTATCCTCTTCATCTAATGGTATTTCTTTTGATAAGTGATTAACAGGTGCATAACCAACTAAAGGTTTGTCATTTTTATCAATAAACTCCACCCACCACCACTCATCAGAGACTGCTTCGAGTACGGTGACTGTATCCCCGGCCTCAAGTGATATCTAACAAAGACACGAACTCTTGGGGTTCTGTAAAGACTGTTCTACTTGCCTGCGTCGGGTCTCTTGCTGTATAGTCGCTCGTTACACAATAGACGTCGCTGGCAGTGTCCTGCGTGGAGTCCTTATCAGCCATCTTAGGGCGTGACCAATGAATGATGGCCACTACAGGTGGTGATATAATTATCAAGTAAGAAGATACCATACCATACATAGCTACTATAAATGCACTGATGCAATAATGAGTTAATGAGCTCTATAACCTACTGTGATTATTATTAATTCAGTTTACTTATTATTATCTTCAATTCTTCATCGCAGTACATTTCATTGAGTAACAGCATACATGTATATATATATATATACTTGTATAATAGTGAAGCACAAAACATTAGATTCAAATAAAGCAGTACGTGGTCTGGTAACTGCTATCGCTGCTTTAATACTCGTATAAATTGTAATATTAATAATCTTCATAAGCACTTGATATAGATCTAACTGCAGTTCATGAAAGATCTTTCTTTTTGCTTTACCGTATACGGGTATATAGCTAGAAATTTTTGGAGGGAATTAAATTCGGCAAATTTGATGTTTTGATAGCCATTTGCCAAAATAAAAATCTGACATTTTGAGCCATTGTGCTCATGCTTAATAGCACGTGGCCACAAATTTGCGAAATTAAAATCCGTCAATTACCAAAATTTAGCAATTCACCAAATTTAACTCCCTCCAAATTTCCCACTATATGGTAGTACTGTAATTCAGTCTATATGGTGATATTATGTCAATAAGATATAACTGCCCTCACTTTGCAATGTTTACAAAGCAACAGTTATATATACTCAAGTCGTGTTTATAATTATTGCTTGTTCACACAATAGTGTCTCATAGTATTATATTACCATGTCAAACTTCACTATTAAAAATTTAGAAAAATTATTTGAGCATATACATGTACATTCATGTATTCATGTACTATATGTACATGAATGTGTGCATTTGCATGTATGTGTATATGTATGTATGCATGTACATTAATTTGTATATGTATGTATGTAGCAAACCTCACAGACTATAATAAGGGACTGCAAAGCATGCTATCTAAATTGAGGTGTGTTCTTGAATTCTCCCATTGGCTTTATATTCCTGCTGCTGGGTGGAGAGACTATCCACTTTCCAATGTGAGCCAATTTACAAGGTCTGTACCAAATGTTAATAGCATTTTTGTCTGTCTATCACTATGTATGTGCATATATATTATATGCATAATGAGTATTTGGGATATTACATTCTATTAACAATGAAAAGGTGTATCTGTCCATATGTACATATACATTTACTGTGCTATTGTGTATGAGAGCAGAGTATGAGTGTGTAGTATAGTGTATGCATGTAGTATAAGCTATGTGTAGCTAGTAGTAAGCAATGCATTTATTTGTTGTACATAGTACTTGTACTTAATGCCACATTTCGTCAAACACGTACATGTAATTTGCTGTGTTAGTTTGTTCAGTAATATATTATTTGTTTACAGTTATTATTATGTTGTATTTTCAAAATGACAAAAAGTGGATCATGAACTAATGCGTGTGGAAGTGGAATTTATTTTGTCAGTATGACCAATTAGAAGCTATAATTTATTAATGCATTAATCACAGTCCCTTTGTTTTATTTGTCATCAAACCTACATGTACTCTGGCTGGTCCAGATGGGTCAGACTACATCAGACCAATGCCTTTTCGATAGTAATCAATGGAGACTTATAAATTCAATTTTGAGTAAGGGGATATCTCGTTTATAAGGAAGAAGTTTACATCATAAATATTTTTCCTTGTATGGAGGATACGTGTGTGCATCATTCTTTCAAGATATGACAAAAATATTTGTAACTACATGTATTTTTAAAGACAGCACCTGCTCTTATTACGTGTATGTTTCATGCTTAATGATGCATAATCCCATGTACTGAAGTCATTAGAAATGAGTAGCTATGCATCTCATTATCATTGTATCTCGTTATATTCTCATTGCCTGTTATTTATCCTCAGCCTCATTGTAGCATAAAAGGCTATATACTGTTGCTCCGTTTTATAAGATGCCATGAGTATATACTATATAGTTAGAGAATTATCAAAAACTATTTATACATTTAGCAATAGAGAATAATAATGTCTCCTTCTTTCTTATCACAAACATTTAATTGTGTCTTGTTATTTCTATGGGAGATGCTTATTTCACCAACATTCAATTCAAAGCTGGCACTAATTGTTAAACTACCAATATAGAAAACTAGCAATTGAAGTACCGTATAGCGGGAGATTTTGAGGGAGTAAATTTTGGTGATTGTCGGGTTTTAATTTGGCAAATTTGTTGCCATGTGCCATCATGGTGCCATTGAGCATGCGCATAATTGCTGAAAATGGCAGATTTCTATTTTAGCAAATGGCTATCAAAACACCAATTCGCCAAATTTAATTGCCTCCAAATTTCCCACTATACAGTAAATTTAACAAATTTTCTGAATTATAGTTCCTATGAAAATTTGTGGCTGGGAATTGTTGTTTATTAAATTTTGATGTTTGCTTCCTCAATGATATCTGATTACGTCTGTAGTACATTTGTAGTAAATGATTTGTGATATACAAATTATGCATGCATATTGAGAAATAAGTTCAAATAACTAAATACAACTTTTTTGATTCATGTAATAAGAAAGTCTGCCAGTAATATTTTATTTTTTGGCCAAATTAAATCCTGTTCTGTAATATTATCTACATGTAGCTTGATTGCCAATGATAATTGTCTGAAATATTATTGGAATGGGGATGTAGCAGGCCATTGACTTTTTTAATGAAACATACTAGCAAATGATTCAGTACAATTCCTGTAACTGGAGTTGAATCAATTCCACATAAACAGCTTCAGTTGCTATAGTATCTGCATGTACATGTAGTTTCACTAGTAATTGTATGCGTGTGGGTGTGGGGTTGTATTACATGTGTACCAGACATGTTATACTTATTATAAGCAAGTTTTTGCATTGATGTAAAGTAGTGAAAGGAAGAATACCAATTTTGTGTCATCTTCTTTATTAGATTGTGTACATTGATTTAAGGATGTGTTATGTGTACAAACATAGCAAAGCACCATAGAGGGAGATATGGACTATAAAGGGGGCTCAGAGAATTTGCTTTGTGTAAAGGTCACACTATACACGAAGCAGTCCTGTTATAGGGCAATCTGTGGTTGCATTGATGTCATGCACAACATGTTACTCAGAGTAGAACAGCTTTCTATCTGGAGATCAAAGTGACCACAAATTGCCTCTAATAGGTATACATGTAGTGAGCTTTACATGACATTCTCTACATGTAAATACTACTATATTCTATCAATTACTGATTCATGAGAACAGGCATAATTAAAGGACCCCTATTATTAGGCACATAAACAATTGGCTCATATTTGTATATTGTATGCATTCCTCACACACACTTTCACACACAGTGCATGTATCAATTACATGCACATGTACATGTAGATCAATACACAACAACATTTTACTATTTATGGTGCAGCACAATTAGTGATCAAAATAAGCCCAAGCAATTACATGTACATGTACATCACAAAAAAGTTTTGGTACACATGATGCCCTTATGCTCTATAGAAAGTACAAGCTGATTTATCCAAGGCTATAGCCCATGGATTTTTTCAAAAAATCGCTCCGAAATTACCCAAATTTTTTATTACACTTTCTGATACACATTGTTGTCTCTAAGCTACATGGAAAGTTTAAGATGATTCTGATACATAATTTTCAAGTTATGAGCATTTTTAAATGAGCCAATTTTTGAAAAAAAGCAAAAGCTATAGCCCATGATTTTTTCCAAAAAATGGTTCTCACATTTTCTGATACATATTGATGTCCTTATGCTATCTAGAAAGTTTGAGCTAATTCTGATAAATAATTGTGGAGTATGAGCATTTTAAAAATGAGCCATTTTAAAAAGCAAAATGGCTCTAAAATCCCCCCCCCCATTTTTGTTACATTTATAATACTTATTTACTTCCACTATTATTTCCAATGGTATATGCATAGGTGTTTTAGCATGCAAGAGGGGCTTAGCCCCCCCTCCCCAATATTCACATGCTAAGTCATGCTTTTTAATGTTGAGCCCCCCTCCCAACTTTTGAATCATTCCTACACCATGCACTGTTTTTGGATAATTAAAAGCATTCTGCTCTACCCTGCACTGTTACCTTATAAGGTGGTGCACTGGATTCACCAATTTAAGTGAGCCGTTTCAGCTTTGTGTTCACTGTATTTTAACTAATTGCATTATTAATGATAATGACCTAAAAAGCCTTTGTGACCTCATCATAATCACTAATTTTATTTCACTCTATATGTACATACATGCATTCATTAAACTGTCAGGGGGCTCATAGTCATAATGCCTTTGATCGTAGGCACAGTGCACTAAATAACCTAAGTGATGGGTTATTGATTTTATTCTTTGAAGTGTTTATGGTACACGTTGACCTTACCATTAATGTCTATTGAAAAAAAAGGAATTGGATATCTATTTTATACATGTATGGTTCTGGTACTTATTGTTTTGACCATTAATGTACATCTACCCATGGGTGCATGTACATGTATAAACTATTAAATGTGATGTTAAGCATCATTAGTTTTGTGTTATTGTATGGATGAAACTCCCCCTCTAATGGGAACTATTTTTGCAATTATTTGGACACATGACACATACACGTATAGCATGGTACTTTATTTCCAAAAGTATTTTTCACTCATTTAGGAAAAAACTCACAAATGCTATCACTAAAATTATATGCACTATTGCTACATGTATACTCATTACAAAATATTCATAAACTATTGTTTAATTTTCCTTATTTTTATGCACATAAACAATTGGCTCATACCTGTTTATTGTTTGCATTCCTCACACACACTTTCACACACAGTGCTTGTATCAATATAGATACAATAGACAACAACATTTTACTATTTATGGTGCAGTATAATTATAGTGATCAAAATAAACCGATGCGCATGTACATCACAGTGAAGTGTTGGTACACATTGATGCCCTTATGCTCTATAGAAAGTATGAGCTGATTTCAACTGAAAATTTGAGAGTTATAGAATGTGCCAATTTTTAAATATTAAATGTGCCACAAGCTGTATATATATATATATATATATATATATATATATTCCATTATTTTTTAGAAATGATTCAAAAACACCCAATTTTTATTACAATATCTGATACAAACTATGCTACCTAAAAAGTTTGAGCCAATTCTGACAAAGAAGTTTCAAGTAATGAGCACTTTTAAAACGAGGCAATTTTTGAAGAAAGCAAAGGCTATATATAGCCCATGGTTTTTCAAAATTGACTCTGAAATGACCCAATTGTTATTACATATTCTGATACATGTACATATTGATGTCCTTATGCTATGTAGAAAGTTTGAGTTGTTTCTGATTTAAAATTTTTAAGTAATGGGCAATTTAAAAAATGAGCCAATTTTTTTAAAAAGCAAAGGCTATATATTTTTTAATGGCTCCAAAATTGCTCCAAATTTATATTACATTTTCTGATACACTTTGATGTCCTTATGCTGTGTAGAAAGTTTGAGCTGATTCCAACTATAATTTTTCAAGTAACGGCCATTTTATAAAAACACCAAAATTCTGAAAAATACCCATGGCTATTATAGCCCATGGATTTTTCCAAAAAATGGCTCCAAAATTACCCCAAATTTTTATTACATTTTTTGATACATATTGCTGTGTGGAAAGTTTGAGCTGATTCCGACTTCAATTTTTTTGAGTGAAGAAAACTCCAAAATTCTGAAAAATACCCAAGGCTATAGCCCATGGATTTTTCCAAAAAATGGCTCCAAAATCACCCTAAATTTTTATTACATTTTTTGATACACATTGATGTCCTTATGCTGTGTAGAAAGTTTGAGCTGATTCCGATTTCAATTTTTTGAGCTACAGCCATTTTAAGAAAATGCCGAAATTCTGAAAAATACCCAAGGCTATAGCCCATGGATTTTTCCAAAAAATGGCTCCAAAATCACCCTAAATTTTTATTACATTTTTTGATACATATTGATGTCCTTATGCTGTGTTAAAAGTTTGAGCTGATTTCGACTTCATTTTTTCGAGTTATAGCCATTTTAAGAAAACGCCAAAATTCTGTAAAATACTCAAGGCTATAGCCCATGGATTTTTCCAAAAAATGGCTCCAAAATCACCCTAAATTTTTATTACATTTTTTGATGCATATTGATGTCCTCTTGCTGTGTTAAAAGTTTGAGCTGATTCCGACTTCATTTTTTCGAGTTATAGCCATTTTAAGAAAACGCCAAAATTCTGTAAAATACTCAAGGCTATAGCCCATGGATTTTTCCAAAAAATGGTTCCAAAGTTACCCCAAATTTTTATTACATTTTTTGATATGCATTGATGTCCTTATGCTATCTAAGAGTTTGAGCTGATTCTGATGAATAATTTTGGAGCTATGAGCATTTTTAAAATGAGCCAATTTTTGAAAAAAACCTAAGGCTACACGCCCATGGTTTTTCCTGCACTATTACCCTAATATGGTGCACTGGATTCACCAATTTTTATATGAACCATTTCAACTTTGTATTTAGTATAAACTGATAATTTTAACTAATTGCATTATTAATCCTATAGCATTCAACATTATGACCTAAAAAGCTTTTGTTTGACCTCATCATAATTGCTATCTTTATTTTACTTTATATGTACATGTATACAATCATTAAACTATCAGGAAGGCTGATGGTTGTACTACCTTTAATCATGGTACAATGTACTAGTTATTAATCTTTAGTCTTTGAAGTGTTTATGGTACACATTGACCCTACCATTAATGTCTATTAAAAAAAAGGAACTGGATGTCTAATGTATACATGTACGGTAATTATCCTATTCTGGTACATTTTGTCCTAACCGTTAATGTACATGTACCTATGGGTGTATGCGTGTACATGTTTAAATGTGATGTTAAGGATCATTAGTTTATTGTCAATGTACTGATAAAACTTCCCCTGAATTTTGTAACTATATTTGTAAACATTTGGCATGTGCACATATGACACATGACACATATAGTATGGCACTTTATTTCCAAAAGTACTTTTCACTAATTTAGGAAAAAATCACAAAATCACTAAAATTATATGCACTATTGCCATACCTCTTACATAATGTTCATGAATTATTCTTTAATTTTCCTCATTTTTTTGTTTTTAGAGTTATTGGTTCAGCCCAGGTAACATCACTGTACATAACGTTGACAACAGTTGAACCTCAAACCGAACAAACATTCAAGTCCTACCTTCAATCAAAGATACGATTGAAAAAAGGCTCCTTCACGATTATCAAATTCAAACCTACCAATAATGAGGGGACAGTAGAAATAGAAATAAGCTTTGCTAGTATCAATAAAGCAAAGAGAGCACGAAGAGTTATTAGTAAACACACTCCTAATGCCATCGTATCTCTTCAAAGCTTTTCGTCAGCTACTCTAAGAGATTCAATAGTAAAGTACAGAGGCATGATGACACTTAAAACCTCACAATATATTGAGCAACATGACATTAAGATTCAAAATGTACAGGCACACGAAAAAGAACTAAAGCAGGAGTCGAAGAAGCTAAGTCTAGCTGAGGCTGGAAGGAGATTGTCTAGTTTAGAAGTCGTTAAAGAGGAAGTGAAAGAGCTTCGTAGACAGAAAGAAGAGTTCTTAAAAACGTGTGCCGATATTGATCAGAAGTTTGTTCGATTGGAAGCATCATTATATTCGAGACGTAAACCACTCAATGACCAGATGACTTCCCTACAGAAAAGATTTGCAAGAGAATGTGTCCGTTTATTCAAATCACTACCGATATACGCCAGACGTAGTGACATAATCAATACTGTTACTAGGAACCAGGTTGTTGTTCTTATTGGTGAAACAGGGTCTGGGAAGAGCACACAGATTGTACAGTATTTGTATGATGCAGGGTTTGGGGAACGTGGCCTCATCGCATGCACTCAGCCAAGAAAAGTAGCAGCCATTACACTCGCTAATCACGTCTCAAAGGAAATGTGTTCGTCTGTTGGTGAGGTGGTGGGTCATCGTTTAGGCTCCTTTGATAGTACCAGCTCTGAAACTGTTATAGTCTATATGACCGATCATAGCCTCCTTAATGAGATCATAGCTGACCCATGGCTCAGGCAATACTCGTGTTTAGTAATAGATGAAGCACACGAGAGGAGTCTCAATACAGATATACTATTGTCTCTTATCAAGCAGTGCTTGCTGCAGCGTCCCGAATTAAGAATCATAATCACATCAGCCACAATTAATCCCGATATATTTGTCAAGTATTTTGGTGGCAGTGTCTCTTGTCCTGTTGTTAGAGTTTCTGGACGAACTTTTCCAGTTGAAGTCATATGGAATCCATTGAGTATACAGTACTCAGCCGACTGCACTCCACTAACCATTGACATTGTTAACAATTGCCTGTCAGTGGTTAAGAAGATACACACTGAAGAGCCTGATGGTGATGTACTGGTATTCCTCTCCTCTCTTGGTGATATTGAGACAGCTTGTTCAGCAGCTACTGATGAATTCCCTGATGCTGTAGTACTCCCATTGCATGGCCGTCTCCAACCAGATGAACAAAGGAGAGTTTTTGAAGATGTCCCAGGAAGAAGGAAGATAGTATTCTCTACAAATGTGGCAGAGACCTCAGTAACTATACCAGGAATAAAGTATATCGTTGACAGCGGTCTAGCCAAGGAGATGTGCTTTGATCCAAAGCGTAATATGAATTCACTAGAAGAGTGTCTCATCAGTAAGAGTTCTGCTGAGCAGAGGAAAGGGCGTGCTGGTCGTGTTAGTGCTGGTAAATGCTACCGTATATACACAGAGGACCAGTATTATAATATGAGAGAGAGAACGCCACCAGAGATACTTAGAATGCACCTTATTCATGCTGTCCTTAAGCTGTATGAGTTTGGTATTGCTGATATCCTCTCATTTGATTTTGTTGAGAAACCAGACCAGGCAACACTGAAATCTGCCGTGGATACACTCCAGTTTCTTGGTGCAGTTAATGATGGTAGCAGTCAAGATAGATTAACCAAGTTTGGGCGTCAGTTAGCTATTTTACCAATTGATCCTCAGCTGGGTAAAGTGTTACTGGATGGTATAGAAGCTGGTATAGGCCTGGAGGCTGCAGTGTCTGTTTCGTTATCTAGTTTTGGAGGTAATGTATTCTATAGAGCAGGGAATGACGAAGCAAAGAGAGAAAGTGATAGAATGAAGATCCAGTTCGTTCATTCTGGTGGTGACCAAATGACGTGTCTTTCTGTTTACAAAAAGTGGTCATCTTGTAAGAAAGAGGAAAGGAACAGGTGGTGTGTAAGGAATTACATCAATGCAAAAAGCATGAGGATGGTAGAGGAGACAGTCAAAGAGTTGCGTCATATTCTCTGTTATAGTTTTCAGATAAACCTACCACATAAGCTACCACCTTCGTTATCATTAGCTGAGTCACAGCTCCCAAAGCTTTACTTCTTCGCATTTCTACGCAACCTTGCTGTGTACTTAGGCCACTCTTGGATTGGTTACATGACTACCGCACACCTGTCTTCAATAAATGACCCTTTGGTTCCTTTTCCTGGCTCTGCTCTAGTACAGCATAATGAGACTCCACAGTATGTCATTTATGAAAAGACGCTGAAGACATCTAAGCATTTTTTACTTCAAGTCCTCTCGGTCGAACAAGATTGGATAACTGAAGCAATATCACGTGGCCAATTATCTCATGATCCAGCTGAAGATGCAAAGGAATACATTGTCTCTCCTGTTATATTAGATAGGATAGGCCAAGTCATAGGTTCCAAGTGTTTCAGGAATGACATTAGAGGACTAACTGAGCGAATGAGAGCAGTATGTGATGGAGCACCAGTGCAAGCTGACTTGGGCCAATTGAATTTGGGGAAAATTTGTGTCTATTCTTCAAAGAAATATCATAACCGCCTGAAAGAGTTTTTAAGTAAAAAGGTTCAAATGGCTCGTACTGAACTGTTAAGTGGATGTATTGAGAGTGGAGTTGTAAGACCAGATGATGTTATTAGGGTAGTCCTCAGCAGAGGTGGTGCAATAGAGCATGTGTTGATGCCCCATCAGTATCGAACTATTGTAGTTAGGGGACCTAATACTACTGCTATAAATGAAGCTGTGCCTGCCCTAACAGAGAGTGGAGTAATTCTCAATACAAAACTCAAGGAATTTAAAAATGAATCAAAGCTATTCGTTACCTTTTCTCATCCTTTGATGGCATCTCATGCTGTATCCAATGTCACAAATTTGCCTAAAGAAGTTACTGTGATTCCTCAATTCCAAAAAGCAAGTGGGAGTCCTAGTTTAAAGTATTTCAGGCTAAAGGTAGAGTGGGTAAGAAGAGAGAGGAAAGATTTTGGCTTTGTTGAGTTTTCCACATTTAATGACTATTTTAGTTGCCTTCAAAAAATTGGTTCTTCAGTTATTGTTTGTGGATCAATTTTACAGATTAAGCCATCACATAAACCCAATCAGCTCTTCATGCCTCAAGTGGCTAAACACATCACTAAAGAAGATATTGAAGATGTTCTTGATGCTCTTCTGCAAGATACAGGTGCAGAGTACAAAGTATTTTTTATTCGTGAGAAGAGTTTTGAGACTAGTGATGCATTACACTTAGCTCTAGAGTATCAATTGAAATATGTGCTACAGAAATATGCCTTAGAGAACCAGTTTATTGTTAAATTTAATAAACCTTCACCTCAACATGCTGACTATCGAGCTTTTGTTGATTTTTTTGATCCAAGTGTGGGTCAAAGGGTCATGAATAATCTAAATGGTGAGTCTGTTGCCGGGAAACCTTTAAACGTACAAGTTGTGCTGTGTACCTCAGTGCGATTTACACCTCAGATATATAGTGTTGTTTCTGAGGAAGTTGATCAAGTCAAGGCCAATATAGAACAAGAGTTCTCGCAAGTGGTTCGTTTTGTACAGAAGCCTGACAAGTATGGCAATGTAATAGTTGAGATACAGTCTACTGATGTTGAGGCTTTTGGAGCAGCAAAATCATTGCTCAACAATCTACTCTTACCTGTTGTACAGGAGTGTCAGTCTCCTCTACTTTGTCACTACATTCTCTCCAAATTATCTCGTAAAGAATTAGACGACATACAGTGTGCCACAACAACTGTCATTATATGCAACACAAGATCAATGACTATTAGTATATATGGAAATAAATCCAATCAAGAGCTTGCCAGGTGTAAATTAGATGATCATATTCAGTACTTGGAAAGTAGAGGTATCTCAATCCATGATATACACCTCAAAGGTCAAGGCAAACCACCAGGCCTAATGAAACACATTGTCTCAACATTTGGTGTTGATTTGACTGGTTTATTATCACTAGAAGGAGTTGAAAGTGCTACATTAGAGCCACGAAAGCAAGTACTGAGTATGTTTTGTTCGAATGATGCTTATGATCACATTAAAAAGGTAATCTCAGACTACTCGGTCTCTAAACCCAAAGCAAATGCAGCAGATGTTCTAGAATGTAGTATCTGTCTGTGTGAGATAGAGGATGCGTCTGAAGTATTTTTATTAGAGTATTGTGGCCATGCCTCACACATTCAGTGCATAGCAGTACAAGTTGCTGCTAATGCTGTCACTTTCCCTCTACAGTGCTCTGCTGAGGGCTGTTCTGAAAGTTTTGTATGGCAAGATTGTGAGAATCTTTTCAAGAAAACATCGTTAACATTGGCAGGATTAGTCGAGTCATCATTGAAATCGTTTCTTGGTGCTAATAGAGACAAGGCAAGGCCCTGCCCCACTCCTGATTGTCAGATGGTGTATGCAGTTTCTAATGACGGCCAACGATTTGTCTGTCCACATTGTCAGATACAAATCTGCACGACATGTCACGAGCAGTACCATGATGGTCTCACATGTGAGATGTACAAGAGTAGCAAGAATGTTGAAAATAAATTTCAAGAATGGCTCAAGGAAAACCCGAAAAACCGTAAACAATGCCCCAAGTGTACTATTGCCATTGAGAAGACGGAAGGATGCAATTACATGTATTGCATACAGTGCCGCACTCATATCTGCTGGGTATGTACGAAACCATTTGATAATGAACAAGACTGTTATGCACATTTACACAAAGTACATGGTGGTATACAATAATTGAATAAATAATGAGACATGTATATTATGTTTGTTTAGGTTAGACAACATTAATTTATTGTTGTAGTTTCTTCTTCTTAAAATACTTTGATTTAGTACAGGTATCAGTATCTCCTTTTCTCTTCCTGTTGTTTTTATCATTAGATCTATTATTGTTTGATGATCTAGAATTATTCCGCTGTGATCTATTAGCGTTAGGAAGGGGAACATCTCCATCAAACATTGACTTGTCTTTTTGACAACAACCTGGAGATTGCTTACTCCATAGCAATGCATTACAGCCTGCAATTAAAAATACATCATGATAAAGCCACCACTGGAATGACTCATTAATATTAATAATGATAATTACACATTAATGATAACTTACCCATTCCAGTCGCAAGCATATCACCAAACCTGTTGAATTGATTTACCTACACATACATGCATATATAATAATTCTATTTAAAAGTGTTAGCTCACAGTCATAATCTGTGCCATACTAGGATCATACAATTGACCAGCAACAACTCCTTTCTTTAAATCAATAATGTCCACACACCTTTTCTTATTGGTATCCTCACTGTTAGGGTATCTTCCTATTACACATAAATCCTCATAGAAAGGATGCCAGGTAGCCTATCATAGAACACAACAAAAACCAATGAACCTCATTAACTATAATGATATACCGTATAGAAAAAAATTTTGGAGGTAATTACGTAAATTTGGCGTTTTCATAGCCATTTGCCAAAATAAAAATCCAGCATTTTCAGCCATTATGTGCATGCTCAATGGCACCTGACCACAAATTCACCAAATTAAAATTGGCCAATCACCAAAATTTAGCAATTCGTCAAATTCAACTCCCTTCAAAATTCCTTCTATACGGTATATCAAACATTATGATAGTCAATATTAAATAAGTGATAGTAATGGTATTAATATGTGTGATCATCAATACCTTAATGTGTGTCATGTGTTGGAACTGACGATGAGGATGAGTCATGGTGAGTCTGGGTGCATCCCAATTGTGTGAATCATAGACACGGATTTTATTGTTCTGTGCCGTTGTTAATAATCTGCTGCTATGAATCGGATCAAAATATGCTGTTTTAATAAAAAATAACTAATAGATAAGACAAGCATTGGTATAACATACCTGAATTAACAGGTGCTTCATGTTTTAGAATAGCGTATGGTTTAGGGGACTCAGAGTCACCCCATGTTCTGAGATCCCACAGAGTAGCTGTTTTGTCATTGGAAGATGTTACTAGAATGTTCTCCGATGCTGGGCAGAACTCGGCATGCTGAATCTTTCCTTTGTGAAACCGATGATAAGTATAAATCTATAAAGAGTAAGGAAGGGACAGTGGAGTTAACAAGTAAAAAAATCAAATCTAGAGTAAGGAAGGACAGTGGAGTTAAGAATTAAAAGGGTCACTCACTGTTTCTCCAGCAGAGTCAAGCAGGACAGCATTACCAGTGTTACCTCCAACAAACATTACACCTTCTGATATACCAAAACTGGTCCACCAAAACCTTTAATGTAGTCCCTTAATCACAATAAATTCTCGTGAAATTATTATACTTGTAGTCCATTGTATCTAAATATACTTCACTACGTTTCCCTTCAAGATCTTTCTTTGCAAATACACCATCCACAGCAGTTGTGTATATGTGCAATGGATTCCTCCGACTAAAAGTCATGTGTGTAATAGATCCATGGCCAAAACCAACCTAAAAAGTTACAAAATAATTGTTATTAAACAGAGCCTCAAATTATATTCAAACAATGTACAGACATTGTGTCTGAACATTGTTTAATTTCATCTGCCATTTTTATGAAACAGTCAGACAAGATTTCCCACAAGATTTTGGACATATACATGTTCTTAGGCTATGGAGAAAGTTTGAGCTGATTCCAATCAAAATTACATTTTTATGAATTTTTAAAGTTGCTCAAAAATAGGGCCAACATCCCTGTACTATAGTACAGAGACGTTGGCAAAATTTCATCAAAAATGAAAAGTAAAAAATTCTCCATTTTTATTAATACATATACATGTTCTTAGGTTGCATAGAAAGTTTGAGCAGAGTCTGATCAAATTTGGATTTTTATGCATCTTTAAAAGTTGCTCTACGTACTTTATTCTAGTGCTTGTCAGCTCATGAAGCTCATGCTGTTTAGCTCACTTAGCATGCTTTGTGGGAAACATAGGCGTAGGCAGGGTCGGGCATATAGGGGCAATGCCCGACCTGACTCTGTGAGCTGACCTGTGGGCAAGGGCAGAAGCTTGGGCAAGGTGGTTGGGCAAGACTGAGTGTATCACTGTGTGTGAGACTGTCAGACTATCATTACCACAGGTGTAATTAGACACTGGAACTATACTGTCAGTCTGTGACTGTCACTTAGCCTAAGGAGTGAGGAAGAAGCTGAGAGAGCCAGAGCTCTAGCAGCAGCCATTTTATTCAAGTTATGAATTATGATATCAAGTTAATTATTACTATACGCCCAAGTTAATTATTGAAATGGCGAGCAAACGTCAATCTTCCATGCTGTTTGCACCTATTTTTTAGATATAGAAAGAGATTTGTCTTCCAAGCTCTGGGACTGCTTAAACGAGGTAGTCATCAAGTTTGCTGTCTCTCACAATAACTCCAGTGATCATCCTCCTCATCCTCTGAGTCGAGTTTCCTCCTTATTTTTTTGTTAACTGGCTTTTTCAAAGCCACCATATCACGAAAAATTTCTTCTACCTGATTACGATAAAACAATAATAATTGTATGCATGATGCATGTTAGATAGTGCGAAATCTCCATATTTTGGGTGGCAAAAAGGGGTGTGGCCAAAATTTAGGCGCGCTTCGCGCGCCCACCATTTTCTCCTTGCCCAACCTTCTTTCCTAGTCTGCCTACGCCCATGGTGGGAAACCCTGCAGTAGGACATGATATTGCATTAAATTGCTTTTAATAATTTATTTCAAAGATTATCTTGTTCCGACAAAATGGAAGAACAAAAAAATTTGATTGAAAAATTGAGCAAAATGGTGGGAAAATTTCCAATGTCCAACTGTTATTTCAGGCTCTGTAATAAATTTAGAACTAAATTACTTATCAAATGGGCGTGGCAAGACTATAAATTACTTAGTTGTTTAATATGCAAATAGTTCAATATAAAAGTATTTACCCCTTTATAAAATATGTCATTCTTATTGTTAGTAGTGTCACAAAGATGAATGTCTCCAGCATGAGACCCAAACGCTACCATATGAGGATATGTCTCGTGCCACTCAATACAAGTAACACGTCGATTGAAGCGACTAGTCGTATGAACCACACGCCAGCTGCTGGTCGCCTCCTCTATAAATTGGTCACGGAGTTGCTAGAAACATAAAAAATTAAAATTAATAACTTTTATTAAACAGTGCTAATTGCTCAGTCATTATCAATTATTACACAATACTGCACAACAGGAGGGCAACACGGAAATTCATAATATTTATTCCAAATCAATTCTCATACATGTGACATGATTTGTGATGGACTACCTCACGAATATGTCTTAGGTCATAAGATGTAGCGTCGTGGTCTGAAGATAGCTTGATTTTAGACACCAGATCCATGACTCACAGTAACAGACTGCACTAAATACCTCTTATAAACACTTGCATAATCATTTGAACACCACGTGGGTGCCACACCTCCATCTCTCTGGGTTACTTGCATCACGTGATCAAAATGGCCGCTTACTTTCTCTAGGAATGTTAGCACATAAGCTAAAACTGGTCGCCGGTTCTTTACTGGCTGGAACTGTGGGGTATGCCGGGTGGACATTAGTTTCCAATGAGGTATCTCACCAGATTATATTCTTCTTTTGATATTTTAACGATGACAGGGAGGAGGAGAGAGTGAAGCATTTGAGGGTCGAAAGGTGTCAGAAGGAAAAAGGACTCACAAAGACCTGATAATACCCACCCGGTATGATTAGCACTATTAATTCACGTATGGGTTCATGGTTGATTAATAGGGCTGAACAGTTGAATAGCTTGCAAGGAGGAGAGCAGTATGATATATTAGTGATAGGAGGTGGTGTAACTGGTGCTGGTGTAGCCCTTGATGCTGTTACTAGAGGTGAGCATTTAATTCTCTGCTCGTGTGTGTGTGTGTGCATAATGTCCATTCCTTTATTGGTAGGTTATGTATGTTTTTTTGTCATTTTATATTTATAATAATTTACATGTACTGTACATGTGCATTGGTATTATTGTAGTTTTAGAATTTAGATCAATCATGATTAGCTGTTGAAAGTCAATTGGCTAATTTGTGTTATGTTGTTAGTATAGCTTCATGGTCATTGGTGTGTACACATTAACTTCTTTGATCTTTAATTATTGTGAAGCTTCATAATGTATTATTTCATTTCTATTACTTCTTGTTGCCAGTACTAATTTAAACCATTTATCTTTATTTTTAGGTTAATTTTTTTCTTTTATATTCATCAATTTTTTTTATTTTTACTGCATGTATATGTATACATGTATATGTGTACACATGCAAGTGATTATTATTTGGTAGTGCTTAAGAATTCACCTTGATCAATGTATTGATTGCAATCCTGTAACGTTAATAACTTATGCTCCTAATGTAGTTCATTAGAACAAAAAGTGCAAGCATTTTAAACTGTTTCCTTCATTGTATTGATGTGCCAATTTGATATCTATGTACTTGTTCTATAATGAAATCATTGTGACACATACATGTACATGTAATGCATGTACATGTATCATCATACATGTTAATGATATTATTACATTTCCTCTTGCTTATCTTTCTCTCACTCAATTTCCCTCACTTTTCTTCTCTTTCCTTTTTTACTTCACAAACTTTTCTCTAATTTTCCTATATTCAACTCTCTCTCTCTCTCTCTCTCTCTCTCCCTCCCCCCCTCCTCTCCCCTCCCCTCCCTCCCTCCTTCTCTCTCTCTCTCATCACTCCAGGTTTAAATGTTGCTTTGGTTGAGAAGGACGACTTTTCTTCAGGGACTAGCAGTCGCAGTACTAAACTCATCCATGGTGGTGTCAGATACCTACAGAAGGCAATAATGGGATTTGACTTGGAGCAATACAGATTAGTCAGAGAAGCTTTACACGAAAGGGCTAACCTCCTAGAGATAGCCCCCCACCTCTCTCGCCCTCTACCAATCATGCTTCCTATATACAGGTAATGTATGTGTGTAATGGGTTATGTTACCATTGTATTGTGATAATGATTGCTGATGTCATTTTGTTCTTACTATTGTTATCATTAATTGTTATTACTGTTAGCACCATTGTACACGTACGTATATGTACAATTATATTTCTACATGCACTATACATGTTATATTGAATGGTAATATACATGTACGTGTATTTATTCATATTACATCCACTATACATGTAATATTAAAGGATAATGTATTTATTCATATTTCTTATTGCTTTGTTTGCTCCTTGTTTTATTTCTTTCTTGTATTAAATGTTTAATACATGTACATATCATTATGCTCATAACTTGAAAAGTTTAAGTCAGAATCTGCTCAAACTTTCTATATAGCTTAAGTACATCAATACGTATCAGAAAATTCAATAAAAATTGGGGAGGGGGTGATTTTTGAGCCATTTTTTGGAAAAAACCATGGGCATTGATTTTTTCAGAAATTGGCTAGTTTTAAAAAATGGTCAGCTCAAATGTTCTACATACATGTAGTATCATCTGTGCAGTGTGCACACACTTGTGTCTAATTCAATACTATTATCATTATTAGTAATGGAATGAGAACTGCATTATCTAAAATGTACATATGTATATCATATTTCAGTTAATAATGTCATGCAGTTAGTCCATCATGTTGATAAACATTGCAATGTATCATAGTCATAGGGAATTTAATGATTAATAATTATATTTTTAATCATGTTTTGTATATGTTTTTGGTTGTGTAGCTGGTGGCAGGTTCCTTATTTCTGGTGTGGTATCAAGCTTTATGATTTTGTTTCTGGAAAGAAACTGGTCAAATCTTCATTTTATGTATCCAAAGCTAAGGCAATGGAGGAGTTCCCTATGCTACAGAAGAATCGGTTGTGTGGGGCGCTCGTCTATTATGATGGTTAGTCATAAACTATTTGTATAAATTTAGTTAATACACTGGAGTATACAGAGATGTATACATGTACATGTACTGTATTCTAGCCACTTTTTATACACATGTATATAGGTGGGCATATAGATACATACATGTACATGTAACTACAATGTACACACATGTATGTGTATATATGTGTACATATACAATGTAATTAATATTGATTGAGGGACGGTTATTTTAGAACTATGAATATTGTTATTATTTTTTTCCATGATTATTATTCCACCTACACGTATAATTAAAAATGGAATGTCTCATAATCACTATTAATTAAGGACTAGCTGTTTCAGCTATTTCTCCGAGACATGACAAGTTTTAATACTATTAGCTGAAACAGTACATGTACATGACATGACATTTATTGAACAGTTAACATACTGAGAGGCGTGAAAACTAATTCGTATCTATAAGTATGATTTAGGCATTCATACATGTACATGTACACATACAGATACCTTTTGGTACACAGTTCTCTGTTAGTACAATGATTATTTTTCTCTTACTACATAGGTCAGCACAATGATGCTAGAATGAATCTTGCAATAGCACTAACAGCTGCTAGAGAAGGAGCCAAAATAGCCAACCATGTAGAGGTCTTGTCCCTCATTAAAGAGAAGGATCTGGTGAAAGGAGCTCACGTGAGGGACACACTCACTGGAAAGGAATGGAACATATTTGCTAAAGTTGTAATCAATGCAACTGGTTAGTTCTATCTTATAATAAATAATAAATATTGTAAGCTCCATTTTTGTCATTTTTACTTTTGCTTAAACAATAAAAATAATTATATCACTCTTATTGTTATTGTGCATGTAAACATTTTATATTATACATGTATACTATTGTTAAATTTAATTTATAACCAGCTTCAACTTTCTACATGTACATGCATGTAATACACTGCATGTGGCTATATTGCTATAATACATGTGTAGCCAGCCCAGTGTCTTTGGCCAAATTGGAATTAGCTATAAAAAATTTAGTTTTGATTGGAATCAAGTCATCAACTCAAACATTCTACCGGTATGCAAGATACATGTATATACATGTACCAAGAATGCAATAAAAATAGAAAATTCTCCCCAAGCCATTATAAGAAAAATTTGGCCAAACCTCCTGCACTATAGCACAGGGACTTTTGTCCAATTTTTGAGCAACTTTAAAGATTTTTAAAAAACTAATTTTGATCCAAACCAGCACAAACTTTCTACACAAGATAAGTGCATATATATGTGTGTATGTGTGTGTGTATCAGAAAAAAAATTATATAAATGGAGAATTCTCTTTTAACCATTTTTGGCCAAATTGGCCTCTCCTTTATGCCCCATTTATTGTGGTACTTGTAGCTTTATAGTTCCAAGTTGGTTGTATAACCAAACCCATGCAGAAAGTACAGCCATACTCTTCACAATAATATTATTGCATTGTGTTAATTATTGGGTGGGGTCTGTAATCAGTTCCTAAATGCAAATCCAAATGGACTTTAGCATCAAATAATCTTTACTATTAATATTGTTATTACATGTATATTGCTTCTATCTGAATCCAAAAACTTGCTTTAATAATTTTTGACATGCAAACGTAGCGTGTGAATTGTGAAGTGTTTAGATAGATACTTTTATGTTAGTCAGCTTAACTTCTAATAACAATAACATAACATCGTCACTTTCACTGTATGACGCTATACATGTAAATTAATTATCATGATGAAAAATGATATCATATTTTCAGACATTTTGTGCCCCAAAATTTTTATAAATGAGTCCACAAAATCCTTTTTTGGATTTTATTTTATACTGGCCTGCAGTATAGATGTAGCTTGATAGAAAAATTAATTTTCAAATTTTTACTTTTTCTCAAAATTATCAAACCAGAACCACATAATTTTTTAGTCGTTCAGTACTATTATTATTATTATTTTTTTTATTGTATTAGTCATTCAATATTATTATTATATTTTTATTGTATAAATAGGTCCGTTTACCGACCGGATTCGTCACATGGATAATCCAGAGGTTCCTAACATATGTCAGCCGAGTGCTGGCGTCCATATAGTGGTACCTGATTACTATAGTCCCCGTACAATGGGCCTACTGGACCCTTCCACCAGTGATGGGCGAGTCATCTTCTTCCTACCTTGGGAAGGTTAGCTATTTGTTGTACATGTACCTGTCTTTTGTTATGGCTGAACAAATAAATTTATTTATATGGTTTTATTTACATACATGTGCATTATTATTGTTGTTATTGAAAAGCTATTGCATGTACATGTACATAAATTTTAAAGATTTGTAAAAAATCTAATTTTGATCGGAATCAACTCAAACTCTCTACACACCATAAAGACATATTTTTGTATTGGGAAAGATTATAAAAGTGGATAATTTTTACCTAGTCATTTTTGGTGAAATTTGACCAAAGACACTGTACTATAGTACAGGGACTTTGGCCCGATTTTGGAGCAACTTTAAAAATTTGTAAAAAATCTAAATTTGATCGGAATCAACTCAAACTTGCTACACAACATAAGTACATGTATATGCATCAGAAAATGTAATAAAAATAGAGAATTCTCGTCTAGTCATTTTTGGCAAAATTTGGCCAATGACCCTGTACTTAGTACAGGGACTTTGGCCCGATTTTGGAGCAACTTTAAAAATTTGTAAAAAATCTAAATTTGATCGGAATCAACTCAAACTTGCTACACAACATAAGTACATGTATATGCATCAGAAAATGTAATAAAAATAGAGAATTCTCGTCTAGTCATTTTTGGCAAAATTTGGCCAATGACACTGTACTATAGTACAGGGACTTTGGCCCAATTTTGGAGCAACTTTAAAAATTTGTAAAAAATCTAATTTTGATCGGAATCAACTCAAACTCTCTACACACCATAAGGACGTGTTTTTGTATTAGGAAAAATTATAAAAGTGGATAATTTTACCTAGTCATTTTTGATGAAATTTGACCAAAGACACTGTACTATAGTACAGGGACTTTGATCTGATTTTTGAATAACTTTAGAAATTTATAAAAAATCTAATTTTGATCAGAATCAGCTCAAACTTGCTACATAACATAAGAACATATATGTGTATTTGAAAAAAATATTAAAACAGAGAATTTTTACCTAGTAATTTTTTGGCAAAATTTGGCCAAAGACCCTATACAGGGACTTTTTACTAGAAGCTACAGGAGCGTTATGCCACAATCCTGTGGGGAATCCTGGAGTGAGTGCTTTTAGTTATCAACCACCTACCTCCTTTATACGTATGTACATGTACAATGAGGATAGTGTATTAGTCAATTATTAGATGTACATGTACATGTACATGTGCATGTATGATTGTATCCTTGTTGAGTGACACTGCCAGTATTGTATCTTATGCGCAGTAAAAAAAACATTAAATGTGACTGTTTGTTTTTCTGTTCATTGCACAAGGCAAAAGAGGAAAGTCTTGCGCAAGTTTCATGTTATGATTTTTTTCTAAATAGTCGTAACAGACGGATTTCATTCGTCGTATTAATTTCCTCTTTATGTTATAGTAAGCAGTCGTCTTCCTTGCCAATATTTGTTATTTTATGCTGTAAATGTGTATATAGCCAAGAGATGCACGTATCAGTAGCTTTCACATTTAATATTTTTGTGAAACAAGTACTGTATTTATTAGCTTGGCCCCTTCTTACATGTACATGTACTGTACTTAAAACTAAATATCACTTGATTAAAATAATTTGAAGTTGTAGTGTACACGTATGCTACAGTCCAATGGATGCTGTACTTATGCAATTGCGTGTGTACTGTGTACATGTAGGCCTCTATAATCAAGACAGGTATTTCCAGTCCCAAATCTCCCAATACAATATAATTGTGTACTATTGAGCCTCTGAATAAAGACACTTCCATAATCAGGACAGTATTATTGGGTCCATAACAGACAAGTTTGACTGTATTCCAAATTGTAGCTACATGTACATGTAGTTTCATGCACTACTTCAAACAATTTATTGTTGGACTGTTTTTTAATGAACACATATCAGCAAAAGTACTCGAACATTGACTTGTCATTATCAGTTAGTAATTTTCACTTTCCACATTAAAGGGATTTCCTCATTATAGGTATACAGTGTAAAGTATGTCTTAGGGTCAAGTGAGGGTTCACTGACCCTATTAGGTTGATATTGTATAGTAAATTAAAATGATGCAATTGACACATCTTTATTATTTAATGGGAAGCTCATGCGTATGTTTTGATTTCTGATCATGTGATGGGATCGAACTACAAGAGATATTGCACTATCTTTCACTAACTTTGCAAGGAGAGTAAAATTGGTAATCTGCCTTGCCTTCCTTATAAGGGAGTAACAGCTACTTAGTTGTTATTCTCAATAAAGAAATCACTCACTTAACAAAATGAACCAACATAAACTCTTGTTGCAAGGGTTATTATATGTGTTCAATGTACATGCAGTTTATATAATAAAAAGTAAACAGGTGTATGCTGCTCTAAAAATGTTCTGAGAATGTTTTCACTAGCGTAAGTTTTTTTCTCTCCAAATACAATGTGTACTGTACTTCTCATTACATGTACACGTACATGTATAATTATTAGAGAGTGTTTCAACCTTGTATCGCTACTTCTGTACATTACATATACATGTACGTTGTACACGTCCATGTAATGTACATGTACATGTACAGTATGGGTCGTTGATTGCTAAGGCTTTTATCTGATGTAATGTGTAGTATTTAGTAGGAAACAGTCTGTCGGCATATGTCATGGGAGTGAAAGTAATCTTTGGAACAAGTTGAAGGCTGCCTTCCCAAGCTGTAATGTCTACCAGTCATTATAATCTTATATTATACAGTAGCAGTGGGGGGATTTCCTGTTGTCTTATCCCACCCTCTTAGTTAATGAGCTTGGAATTTAACCTCATCAATGGTTGCAAGCTAGGCAGCCACATGTACTGTACGTGTGCAACTAAAGTTCACTACTTGTATCAGCTTCATTATCCTTATTGTACTGCCAGCTCAGCAACCTTCTTAGTATTGCTATCTTGTAGTGTGTTATGAGGTCAGCATGTGCTTCAGAGAATGTAATAATCACTCCACTTATAAGTATGGAGTGATTATCATTTAATGAGGCCACATATAAAGTCTATGCATGTACAATGTTACTAGTAACTGTAGTTGGTGTTAATAAACTGATGGGCACACATCACATTGTATTATAGGTATTGGCATAGACCTTGCAAATTGGCAGTCATAGTTTGTCTGTTGTTTAATGTGATCAGACAATACAAGATCACGCCTCAATATAGACAGTCCCTTTGAAGTTCATAGACTTTATTGATTGGTTTGTGAATTTAGTACAAAACCTCTGCAATTTGCTGTATGTACATGTACATGTACAGTGTACATGTACATGTGTATATATCTATTAGTACATTGTAGATGAGCATTAAACTCAGTGCAATGAGTAAGAGCATTAATTGGGATATATATGTAGCCTTTAAAGTTTCATGACTGATAACTCTTATCTCTTACTAATTAGATTTCCTTTTGTTTATATACATGTATCTTACATAAACTACATGTATGTGTGCTTTACATGTAAGAGGTAGGTAAATGCATGTGCATGTATCTCTTGATCCATCCTTTAATTAGTCACAATGGCCCACCTGTGCACAAGCATACCAGTAATGCCTTTATTTTTGTCCAAAGTTTACTTATTGCATCATGTGTATTGATGAAGATCATAGTGTATCCTTGAGACACAGAGACTGATTGTGACTCTGTTTATTGTTTTTGATTCACACAAACACACACACTTTCTGAATTATATAAGCCATTTCAGTGGAACTGTAGCAGCTGTGATTCATGAGATAATAAATAATAGTACAAGAAAATAGAAATGATAATGATAATAGCCACAATATACAATACATTATTATTATTGTTGTTCTTGTGTAGGTAAGACTATAGCTGGTACTACTGACTCCCCAACTGATGTCACTCATAGCCCACAACCAACCGAAGAAGACATACGCTTCATTTTAAAAGAAATTAAAGATTATCTTAGTCCTGATCTATCTGGTAATTATATCATTACTATTACTGTGATTTGGTTACACAGGATAAGTGTATGTACATTATTATTTTGTTAGTTCGTAGAGGTGATGTCCTTGCTGCCTGGAGCGGTATCCGGCCTCTTGTCAGTGATCCTAACTCAAAGAACACTCAGTCAATATCACGCAATCATGTCATTGAAGTCAGTAACAGCAAGATGGTCACAATAGCAGGAGGTATCCTCACTAATCCTATTTAATGTATCGTATTACATTTACATGTATACATGATTTTGGGGAAATTTGGCTAAAATCTCTGACCTATATAGTACAGGGACTTTTTTCCAATTTTGGTGCAACTTGAAGCATTAGTAAAGAGCCCACACTTCTACATGTACATGTACATTTAGTTCTAAGTTTTTTGTATATTCTCTTATTTTCCCTCTCTTGTCTTTCTTCCCTTGTTTATTCTCACTCATTCCTTCACAATCAATCAATAGGTAAGTGGACTACCTATAGAGCTATGGCGAGGGACACAGTTGATAAAGCAGTTTCTGTTGGTGGGTTGAATGACCCCAGAGGGTGTCAGACAGATGGGTTTATACTGGAGGGAGGGGAAGCGTGGCAACCAACCTCATTCATTCGTCTTGTCCAAGACTATGGGATTGAAGTGGAGGTATAATCAATGTAATATAATTACTTAATTTAATTTAATAACGTGGCCCAGTCTTCCTTCCTCTCTCTCCCCCTCTTTACTCTATTTGCTCATCTCTCCTTCCCTTTTTTAAATTGTATCTTCCTTTCTCTCTTCACTTTTCTTACACACAATCTCATTTTATCACCCCCTCCCTTCCTCTCTCTTCCTCTAACTCATGTTATTAGTTCTTGCTCACTTCTGTTGTTACACATACAGTAGCATTAAGTACAGTATATCTTTTTGTTCACAGGTAGCTCAATATTTGAGTAAAACATATGGTGACAAAGCCCCACGTGTTGCAGAAATGGCACAGTTTACAGGTAGACGCTGGCCTGTGAAAGGAAAGAGGATTGTGGAAGAGTTCCCATACATTGAAGCTAATGTTCTCTACGCTATCAAAGAGTATGCCTGTACTGCCATTGATGTCATAGCTAGAAGGACTAGTCTAGCCTTCCTTGATGTGCAGGCTGCAGAGGAGGCACTGCCTCGTGTTGTGGAGATAATGGGAAAGGAGCTAGGCTGGAGCAAGGACGAGAAAAAGGTACTGTGATCCTAAATAATTTAATAAGCTTTATGTTTAACGTTTTTGCAATGGTGGGCGTATTAACGTCTGTTAATTTTAACAATTTTTACAACTAAATGTGCATTGACAATCATATTTACGGCCATTAACTTTAACAAAATTAGGCCAAAAATTAAAATATATGTACATGTACAATGTAGTTGAAATTTATGGGTAATATTTATTACAGTATGAGTTTATTTATATAAACTCTTTGTCTTTAACGAGTAACTTGATTTGCTTTGATCTGGTTGAGACTTCTACTAAGTAATTTCCAAAACATAGATTTCAGTCAGTAAAATTAACTGTTGAGTTTGTATTTTGTACATTATATTGCACATTAGCTTATTCGGGTTTTTAATGTAGAAACAAATATCAGAAGCGAGACACTTCCTTGAAACAATGGGTCTTCAGATTCATCACGAGGTTCGTAACGTTGAAATAAAGCTCTCCTATCAAGAAGCCAAACGCTACACGCAAATATTCAAGAGCCTTGACAAAGACAATGATGGTCACATATCAATATATGACCTGAAACGAGCTCTGAAAGATATGGGAGAGACTGTATCAGATCGGGAACTAAGGGACCTCATTGCTGAGGTAGACATCAACAAGAATGCAACTATTGAAGAAGAAGAGTTTTTACAGGTACTGTAAGTGTTTATACGAAACACTATTGAGTGTACAGTCATGGGAGGTGTACATGTACATGTAGTTTGTTGGGCACAGTCCTAATGCAGCTGTGTGTACTCTTACATGCATTCAAACAATATACATGTACATTCTTGACGATAATGTACATGTACATGTACATTCATGTAAAATGTTATTCTTTCATTATGTACGTGTACATATATGTACATGTATTGATAGTCCATCATTATAATTGTTTTTACATGTACAGGTTTGAACCATTATGTCCATGCTCAACGGTGCATGGCCACAAACTTGCCAAATTAAAAACCAGGATGGGCCGCCAATCTCTAAAATTTAGTAATTTTGTCGAAATGTCCCCCATCCAAATGATCAGCTATACAGTATTATAAAAAGCACAATACATTGTACAATACAACAATAATGTATAATACTTTTACATTGTTAGTGATCATCATTCATTATGTAAACGTCCTTTACACTGTAGCTAATGAGTGCTATCAGAACTGGTGAAGTTGCTAATAGTCGTATGGCTGAGATTGTTAGGAGGCAGCAACAAGAAATGGGTCTACCCGTTCGGAGAAGTGGCGGAGGAGTATGAAAAACATGGTGGCCACGCATGCAAGACCGTTGCAAGACTTATTCAACATTTCATGCATAGCATTTAATATTATTGTAGAATTGTAGAGTCATTGTGATTATTATTTTTAACACTATTAAAAGTTAAAGTTTAAAAGTTTAATTTTATTTTGATAGGCATGACATGATGTATGCCATACTTCATCCACCACCGCACACACATTACTACTGTATTGCTACTACATTCAAACAGGAAGTTATACAAATTCCCCTGCTGATTATGCAAAACCAGTGTAGCCCATATAAAGAATGCAGGAGTGAGCTAAGTTTTCATAGTTGAAGATCATCTGAAGAAGAGAATAGGATGTGCTCATCAGAATCAGTTGCTTCTAATGTCAGTGAATTTGAGTCTACATCACTGATTGGAGCTGTCTACTGCTTTCAAGGAGGCTTTGGTCTCTATCCTCTGCTGGATCTGCAGGAAACTACATATTCTCCTAGTCCTAGACTCACAAGAAGTCAATCATTTGATTTGAGTCTTGCTGCTAATGAGGTAGAAAGTGATGGTCATGACAAAAGGCAGGAGTGCTGGTCTTTGGTATCACATGATGGGAAGCAGCTGCAGAATTCAGTGAAGAAATCAGGAGACCATAGACCTAGGCCTGCCAGTGAAGATGAGTTATGGTACAGAGCAAGACCAAGAGCTTTCGCTTTTTGTAATGATCAAATGAAATATGACAGAAGGCGACAATTGGAATCACTTAATCTTCATATCAGTGGCCTTCATGTAGATACTGACAGAACTCGTTTTCATTTTAAATTGATCAATTGTATTAAAATGTTTTTTTCATTTTAAGTAACAAATCATGTCATCATTCAACATTGAAAATATTTGGCTGCGAGCAAGATAACAATTTCCCTGTAACAGAGCCCACTGCTCTATACAACTAGTACTTGCTTTATGTACTTGAAATTGAAGACAAAGCTTATCAAAGCCTTCAATGCTATAATATAGAATACATGTACAAGCCTGTTGTAGTTGTACATGTATTAGATGCACAATATCATATAGTATGATTTAAGAAGGTACAACATAATGTGTTATTAGCTTAAGACACTGCTATTGCATCTGTTTTGTGTCTAGTTCAAAGTTGGTATACAAGGCACGCGGTTTAATTGCTCATTAGAATATAAAAGGAGGTTTGTTTTTATATTGTGTCTACATATCATGAAGTTGATGAAGTTATAATGTATATCTATCAACAAGAGTATCTGCTCTTGTATCTATGTATTCAGTATTTTCGTAATCTATGCTACTAATCACTCCCACATGTTAAACATTAGTACCTGTGGACTTCTAAGAAATAAAACACACAGAGTAAAGAGTAAAAATCACTTTCAATTTGCATTCATGCATGCATGCCCATATAAAGTCAACATGTATGACATCACAAAATTATGAAAAATAAAGGACAACTTTCACTATATCACCTTTGATTATTTACAAAGAATATCTAATTTCAAAGTTTAAGGTTGACTATCAAAAAATTGGCATAAATGATAATAGACGTATAGTATATTGATGACACTAATAATGGTGCTATCTACTTTTAGTATAATAAGTAAAAATGAGGTCGATCCTAATGACCCTTATATGTACTGATCATCATCCTGATCTTGCTTCACTTCATCAACTGTGGCATACAAGTTATTACTCATGTACAAGTAAGTGCCATCGCTGTAGCTATCATATGCTGGATTCTCATTAACTGCTGCGTCATGAGTAGACCCATAAGCTGAATTATCCTGCATAGGAGTAACACTAGTCATATCATTCATAATTAGAGTATCATCCTGCTTGGTATCATCCTTCTTGGTATCATCTTTTCTGGTGTCAATGATAGAATAATCAGTACCTATACGGTATAATTCTGTAATATGTTCAAACTATTGGTTCCTTACTGTTGTGTAGATTTACTCTTTTCTTTATAAAAACTATAATGCATGCTAGCACTAGGATAGAGGCAAGACTTATAATTGTAATTGCTCCTATAATTCCTCCAATTAGCCATTTTGCAGATACAGATAGGCCTATATATGCATGTATATAAGAAACATATTGATAGTCAATAGTTTAATTTAAAGACTCACTTTGGGAAGGTTTTGATATCAATTGAGAAGGATATGGGGATCCAGAGTACTTTATAAAGAATTAATGAAAGTTATAATGAATAAGTCTATAAAACTTACTTCAGTGGTTGAGCTCTCTTCTAGATCTGTAGACTGACCTATCAAAATGTTTAAATGGTGATGTTATTAGTGGGAGGACTAACTTATCTCCACAGTAACTAATGGATAATCATTAGTAAATTGATAAAGCTTTAGAAATGAGATAGTTGATAAAGGAGAAACAAGCCTAGGACCAATTCGTAGGTTCATTGGCCCACTCTCTCTTTGTTCATACAAAATTAAGCTATCACCATTAACCATATTATTACTGTAGACACCAAACATATCTCCTTCCTGGAACTGCAGTGGCACCTCTGGAATGAACTCATAAAGATTAGAACCAATCATTTTCGTAGCATTAATCAAACTTGATCCTATTTTATTATAATTGTTAGGACCTAATTGACGCCATATTTGTAGTTCGGGTCGGCTTAAACTTCCCATACTGTAAGCTCCAAATATCCACTTTGTAACTGATCCATTACATGAAAATACAATCTGTGGATAAATATATTGACTTAAGTAATAAAAAGGTTGTGATCTTTGTATTTCAAGAGCTTTCTTTTTAACAAATTCAGCAGTAATAGAATTTGTACTATTAACGCAGTATCCACCTATAATGGACAGGATAGGGTAATAAGAAGATTTATATAAACATCTTACTTGTTACTGGATACACTAATATTAACTCATTAGATACTAAAAAGTTACTTGTGTCAATATTTTTAGATCCAATATGATACTCCATACTACTGCTGAAATTGATTCCATTGATGTAGTAGACCCTCACAACACTGGCCTTCTTGAATGGTTGTGATATAGCTAACACATCTCCATTTGTTACTTTTATAGGAGGATCAAGTGGATATTCAATCATTCCATTGGTACTGACATTAGAGGTGGTATAATATATAATTCTCTCACTGCCAGTTACTAGGTTATATTGACTGCCTTTAGGTGTGAAGACCTGAACACTAGGAAATAGTCTTCGAGAATCAGTAACTCTTCTTATGTTAATTCCAAGTATGAGGCTGGTTATGTTAACACAGGAACAATTGAACTGATACTCCCAAAGGACTCTTAAAGTATAACTGGCCATAAACTGTCCAGTCATACTCTCTGTTCCTATATTCTGTGCTCTGTATTTCACAAGTGAAAGGTCCATGAACTTTTTTACACATTCCTGCTGTCCAACTACAGGCCCTTTGGTAAATAAATCATGTATAATAATCATTATCAAGTTTTTAATAGAACTTTGCTCACCTAAATACAAAATAGCTGTAATAAACAAGAACTTTATCAGTATCATCTTTCCAGGTTCATAAGAGGAAGAATATCTGTTGCTGTTTCATGACACATTGTGCAAGCGCATTATTACTATTGTTTTTTCAGGCAATGTTTTGTCTTCATAGTTGTTATATCAACATCATAAAACAACAAATCTTATCTATTGTTATCTTTTTCTATTCCTATTTGATACCAATCTCACTGATAAATACACAAGTAAATTCTACAAACAATCACCTTTGTTTTTATAATTGATACATTTTCCAAAGTAAGATTTGTATAGTTTTTTTAATCAATTTTCTTTTCAAAAGTTCGTGCTATCACAATGCATGCAACAATTGTGTATCATGCTATGCAACTTGCTTCATTTTATATTTCTCAGACTTTTATCCAAGAGTGCATAAAGTTTGTTTTGGACAGCTAGTAGATTAATGTGCATATTATCTGAAGATTTTACAAGTGACAATAAAAAGAGCTATTTTATTTAATCTAATAAGCAACATTTACAAAACTACATATCTCTAAATAAATGCATAACAATTATAAGCAAAAATTACCAGTTAGTATTTATTTCGCATCAATTAAGTCATAAATACATAATTGTCCTCATCTTTAGCCATATTTAGAGCACTGCCCATCCTTGTTTCAATATCAACAGTGATATAATCAGGCTCCAAAGCATAATTTCGAGAGGCTTCTAAGCCAAAGTTACGTTTTCGCTTCTTCATAAAAGCAACAGTACATCCTACTACTAGCAGACAGAAAAGAATTATAAACAGAAACACTCCTACAGCTCCTCCAATTAGCCATGGTACTATATGGTAGTATAGTATAAAGAAAAAACATAAAGGTTTATCCAGTTATGGCTTACCTAGATCTGATGAAATTTTACTACAGGAAAGTGTTGTGAGAGTAGGAGTTGCTTCAGTCAGAGTAGACACTACAGTAACTGTTTCCAATGGAGGCTGGATTGACACTACAGTAGCTGTTTCCAATGGAGGCTGGGTTGAATCAGTTTGAAAACTGAGAGAAGACACAAGAATAGATTTATCTGCTATCAATGAAGACTGGAAGGTGAGTATCAACAAGAGAGTTCAAGGTAAAAATTGTTAATGATTACTTACTGAAATGATTAGTGTCCCTTTTGTAGTACTTGATGTGTACATAGCAGAAATAGGCTGAATACCACTACCTGTTGATATTAGATTAAAATTTATGAATTATCTAATGACTGACTTATTTCCACAGTAACTAATGGAAAATCATTGTTAGTGACTGCATCAAGTTGATGAGATACTGTTGTTGGTAAAGGAGAGTCAAACACAGGACCAATCTCAAGGTTCATTGGTCCACTCTCTCTTTGTTCGTATAATACTAAACTATCTTCATTATTGATGTTACTGTAAACACCAAGCATATCTCCTTCCTGGAACTGCAGTTGAGCCTGAGGAATAAACTCAAAGAGATTAGGACCAACCAATATACTAGTATCAACTAAACTAGATGCTACTTTTCTGTAATTATTGGTACTTGTTTGACGCCATATTTGTAGCTCAGGTTGACTCGAACTTCCCATACTGTAAGCTCCAAATATCCACTTTGTAACTGATCCATTACATGAAAATACAATTTGTGGATAAATATATTGACTCAAGTAATGAAATGGCTGTGATCTTTGTATTTCAAGAGCTTTCTCTTTAATAAATGCAGCAGTAATTGAATTTGTACTATTAACACAGTATCCACCTAATGATAAATAGCATAAGGTAAGTCGATTGCAGAAGAAATTTAATGTCTTACTTGTTATTGGATACACTAGTATTAACTCATTAGATATTACAGAGTTACCCAAGTCAATAGTTTCAGACCCAATAAGATACTCCATGCTACTGCTAAAATTGATTCCATTGATGTAGTGGACCCTCACAACACTAGACTTCTTGAATGGTTGTGATATAGCTAACACATCTCCATTCATTACTTTTATAGGAGGATCAAGTAGATATTCAAACATTCCATTGGTACTGACATTAGAGGTGGTATAGTATATAATTCTCTCACTGCCAGTTACTAGATCATAATGACTGCCATTAGATGTGAAGACCTGAACACTGGGAAATAGTCTGTGACAATCAGTAACTCTTCTTATGTTAATTCCAAGTATGAGGCTGGTTATATTAGCAGATGAACAATTGAACTGATACTCCCAAAGGACTCTTAAAGCATTACTGGCCATATATTGTTCAGTTATGCTCTCTTTTCCTATATTCTGTGCTCTGTACTTCACAAGTGAAAGGTCCATAAACTTGTCTGTACAATTCTGCTGTCCCAATACAGTTTCTGTGATAAAAGCACATCAACATTCAACAGAATTTAAAACTTAAGCTCACCTTGATATAAAACGGTTATAAAAAACAAGAAGTTTATCATCAGTACCATCTTTGTTAAACTCAATATTTTATCCAGTACAAGAGCAAGAAAAGTAATTAATAGCTTTAGTTATCACAACACAAAACTATGATTGCACAAACACTAGCTACGTTACTGTTTCCTAAAACAATGCTTTGGCATTTATATAATGAAGGCTGTTACATGACGTCACTCAGCTCACTTTGTTTTTACATTATGAATACAGTTTTCTATGTCTATTAGGAGGGGCTGGCTATAATACCACCGTACAACTAAATAACCTTAGGCTACAGTTAATTCTAAACAATAAGAACAAAAAAATTGACTTATGGACTTTATCATTCTATTTCTCACACCACAGTAGTATTACAGTTCTTTTCCCATTGGTAATTTGGTATTAAATAAAACAAAGAGCCCAACATACCTCAAACTTTCTGCACAGCATAAGGTCATCAATAAGCATCAGAAAATGTAATAAAAATTTGGGGTGATTTAGGAGCTATTTTTGCAAATAAACCAAGGCTATAGCTTTGGCTATTTTTCAGAATTTTTTTGTTTTCTTAAAATGGCTGTAGCTTAAAAAATTAAAGTCGGAATCAGCTCAAACTTTCTACACAGCATAAGGACATCAATGTGTATCAAAAAATGTAATAAAAATTGAAGGTAATTTTGGAGCCATTTTTGAAAAAAAACCATGGGCTATAGCCTTGGGTTTTTTCAGAATTTTGGTATTTTCTTAAAATTGCCGCAACTTAAAAAATTGAAGTCAGAATGTATGATTTTAAAACTAAATTTGTCCTGCATTATTACCACTGTAGGTATTAAAAGTTGATTGCAATAGTTTTGATTGCAATAGTTTTGATTGCATTATTCTGATAGTCTCATAGATATGAGAATGTCTGTAATTTAAACTGTCAGCATGCAGTTGTGTCAAATCTTGATTGCTAGAGTTCAGTTGTCACAGTCCAGTGAAAGTGTCAAAACTTGATTGCTAGAGTAAAATTGTGTCTCTTGGACTAACTGCTGGAAGAACCTTGATGCGTTTCTTTAACTTCTACAGTTCTACTCAGTGCACACAATCATGTATTTTTACCACTGAGCCACACCTCCTTAGGCTCTGCAGATATGGCAAATATGGGTGTGGCTAATTAGATGGGCCGGGCTAGCTGGTGTTGGAATGAACTCTACTCGACTAGCAGCCAATCCAAGAGAAAGGCTGAAATTTAATGTGCTTGCTAGGATTTTCTTTTGGTAAGTTCAATACCTACAACACTGTGAGTGGTTGTTATTCTTGTGTACATTGCAGTTGGGTGGATCCACTCTTCTGGTTGGGATGTAGAAGGAGTTTAGAAGTAAGTGATTTGTATGAAAGACCTTCTGAAGCTGATTCCAATGAGCTCTTAGCCAAATTCAACAAGTAAGTTACTTTATTTTTAAAACCTGGTCTAGATTTTTGCAGCGTAAAATTTATGTCAAAATTAATTTTTTTGCTGCCACAGCCTTTTCAAATTTTATTTGCATCCACAGATATTGGAAACTAGAGCTGAAACGAAAGAAGTATGGTGGGTCCCCGAGAATGCTATTGATACTGTTCAAAATGTTTTGGGGTTATCATTTTAAACAAGGGCTGTTCTTGTTTCTTGAGGTACATAATTTTTATGAATACGTTCCATTAGTTTTGTGTAATTATTATAATTAGGTAGGTTGTTTTATTACTATGTCTGAGATGATAGGATTACTTGCTGACTATTTCACTCTTTCATCTCCATCAATTGATGACACACGTGATGCTTACCTTTATGCAATGGGACTGGCTTTATTGTCTCTTGCTATTGTCTTTTTTCATGCTTACAATTTCCACGCATCTTATCTTCTTGGGATGCTTACAAGAATTACAATGACTTCTGCTCTGTACCAAAAGGTCAGTTACACTTTTTAGCACAGTCTGAATCCTTCCCTTATTGTAAGAATATTTTGCATTATGCGCCTATAACTTATAGATACTCTCTCTCAGTCAATCTACAGTTAGTCAAAAGACTATTGGTCACATTGTTAACTTGGTATCAAATGATGTCCACAAGTTTGACTTGGTTAATATCAATGATCTCATATTGTTAATTTCACTCATCGTTATATAGCCTTTCCTTTTCTGTCATTATTACTGGATTGGTCCCATACATATAGTAGTAGTTACTTACCTGTTGTATCTTGAACTCCAGTGGAGTGCATTTGTGGCTACTGCTCTTGTTCTACTTCAGATTCCCCTTCAACTGACAATTGCTTACTTTTCCAGCAAGCTAAGGCAAGGCAGTACATATATACATGTATTTGTCACAATATCATGTACACACTCAATTCATTTGCTATTATTTTTTGTCCTAATGTAGATTGAATGCTGCAAAAATGACAGATAGAAGAGTGAAGGTCATGAATGAAGTCATCAGTGGAATCAGAGTCATTAAGATGTATGCATGGGAATATGCTTTTAGTAATGTAGTGGCAGCTATTAGGAAGTATGAAATCAAAAAGTTATTTTCATTATTCATTTTATTTAGGAGTGAAATATATTTGATTGCTAAGTATTTTATGGTTCAAGCTATCGGTTTGACTTGTGACACTGTCACTGTCTCATTTATAATGTTTTGTCTGTTTACTGTTTATGTCAATACTCCTGATGCACAGATCACTCCAAGGAAAGTATTCATTGCATTTTCTTTCTTGAGTTTTCTTCGCATCTCTCTTCTTCAAACATCTATATCAGTGATACAGCAAGCAGCAGCTGTTGTTGCCGGAAGGAGAATCAAAGTAACTAGTACTATGTTGATAAATTTCTAATTGCTATTGACTAGAATTTCCTTTTGCTGGATGAGTTGGAACAATTTTTAGACTCTGGTACATTAGAAAATTAAGTCACTTTAATGTATAAATACTCTCCATTGGCAGATTCATCCAATGAATACATTGCTCTTGAGTCGTTGTCATCTCCTAATGAAGAACATACTAACATTGTAAAGGTGCAAGGACTAACTGCTTCTTGGTCACTAGATAGTGATAAATTGACTCTTAATGACGTATCATTTACTGTCAATAAAGTAAGAAATTTCATGTATGTTCATGTTCATGTTCAGACATATATTAATAGGAGAAACCATTGCTAGCTATAGTTGGTAGTGTTGGCTGTGGTAAGGTTAGTGGACTTATTATTTTCTGTTATTAATGTTTGTTCACTCATATAGTCAACCCTTCTTCAGTGTCTATTGAAAGAGCTACCTGCTTTGAGTGGTACAGTAATGGTTAAAGGGTCAGTTGGGTATGCTAGTCAAGAAGCATGGGTCTTCTCAGCTACACTGAGAGACAATATACTCTTTGGTTAACCATATAATTCTGACAGATATGAATCTGTGATAGAAGCATGTGCT